TGAAGTTGGAGAAACTGGTAATCAAGTTCAATGCTGGCTTTACAAAGTGAATCTTTCATGCAACTAGATTCATTTTGTGAACGGCACGTGACATAATTTCTTTACAACAGTTACATGAAGCCAGTACAAAACAAAGTTACATGATACATACAGTTACTTCACTAGTTAGCCAAATTAGCAGTTAGTATTTTTGTTTATTTTTATTTAAATTGTTATGTTTTCACTATATGAAATTATGGTTGTCTTGCTCATCCCATTCTAGAAGCACTGCAAGTTCATTTGGATCTCATAGAAATCTCTGCTGTGTTTAAAACTAGGGGGTACAAAAATGAAAACTCTAGCTCCATAGACCATGACTACAACAGGCTAACAAAGAATTGTTAGAGAAGTAATTAGTAAGCAATAAAATGATATTTAAACAGCTTCTATTATTACACATTTGGCTAGTTAAGCTAGCTGGTTACAGAAATGTTAGCTTCAAGAAAACTGCTTAATTGTTGTCATGACTCAAAATGAAAAACTACCAACCTTATGCTGGTTTTACATAGTGAAACTTTCATGCGACTTTAGTAGTACAGTAGTCTGTAATAAACTGTCACAACCAGCCAACACTAATAGCTACTGCTGTTCTTCATTAGCCTACTGTTAGCATGGTTTATGTCGCTACATTTATTTTCTCCTCTCTAGATTCTGCTAATTTTGGCAGTGAATGGCTGGGAAAGTTATACAAAGACAATAAAAGTGCTGTAAATACAGAGTGTATTTAAATATATGAGCTGCCAATTTGGTCAAGTGGAGTAATCTATTTTGTTGTGTGCAACCTGATTGTTTTTGAATTGTTTCATGTAACTGTCAAGTTGCACAGAAATTATGTCACATGCACAAATTCTGTTGTACCTTACAACATGCAGCAAGCTGTACAAAAAGTTCACAGTTGAAGCCAGCCTTACATAAAGTTGATCAGGAAGATTTCTATTTCACCATCTTCTGATTTATTTTCTTGTCCATTGATTGATGAATTCAATTATTTAATATGATGGTATTCAGCATGATCACATGATGTATTATCAGCATGTTTAGCTTTGTTTCAAGAAGTTGAAATGGCTGCAACTGTTGTGGCTGAGTTTCAAACAAGCTTTACTTTAATTTCTTGTAAGTTTTAACTTAGATTAACTTAAGTTGCATAAAATTTACTTAAGTTTAAAATTAACTTAAGTTGCATAAAAGTTTCACCATGTTAAGCCAGTCTTAAGGCCCGCTTAAAGAACTTCCATTCTTCTGTTGAGTCTCAAGAAATTGTTACACATCCAGTGTTTTAAATTTGTGATGCATGCACTCAGTGTCTGGGATGGAACTGCGAGGAAAGCAGTACTAATGTAAATCTGAAGGTTATCAGCAGTATAACAGTGAAACTTTAGACCATGATTACGAATTATCTGAATGATGTATAATGTAAATAGAAGAGGACCAAGGACAGAATGCTGGGTTACTCCCTTAACAGCAGGGGTGATGGACAACTTGTGAATACCTATAGAGGTAAACTGTTGCCCGTTAGTAAAACATGTCTGAAACTAATCAAGGACTAAGCCAGTAATACCAATGGGTAAAAGTCTGGAAAGTTATTGTTGCAGTACCAAAAGCTTCAGTGACCATTTATTAATACTGAATTGCATCCTAAATATGTGCACACATTTGTTCAGAAACTATCACGATGCATCCAACAAGAAAGGTAGCATGGAGCTATATTAATATATAATATTAATATATATTAATATATATTGATAGAAAACACAGTAGCACACAGGAGCACAGTAGCACACAGTGCCACATGCTAATTACAGTGGCCAACGTGGACATGTGCTAGATTTTAATCTTTTGAAGGAGACAAAGACTGGGTTGCCCACCACAGAGTAAGTAATATTGGGTTAACTGGTCTAAATGTGATCATTAATTAAAAGTGCAGCATTTTTGTGGTTAGTCTTAATGGGAAAGATCACAGAGCCATCTATACGGGGTTAAAACAGACTTAAATATCTACACTTAGTGAAACATATTCATGATGTTTAGGTAAATTCTTTTAACCACTGTTCTCCTGATTGTCCAAAATGTTTCTCACAAAACATGAAAGGATCTCAGAAATAGTTTGTATCGAAGCATGCTTTACGTACATACATAGTCTACATAGTTTCATTTTTATTATGAAAGCTAAAGACCTGTTTGTCAACTTGCTAAAGTGAAACTGAGTTAATGTGTCTCTTTGGAGCTTCTTTCTTTATGACTGATGGACACCTTGCCTTTTGCTTTGGACACTGAGGATCTCAGGTAAGCCTTTGTTTATGTACATATTTGTTATGTACTAAAGCATACAGGAATTAAATTGTATTATATACTCTCTGTCCACTATCTTACAAACTCCTACCTGCTTCCACTTACCATACTGTCCATCTGAGGTAAAGTCTCTACATGTATACCAACAAGGTAAAGCTACAGGATAGGGATTTCTAATAAGGTGGGTGATAAATGTTTAAAGGCCTAGAGACTATACTACAAATTATAAAAAATGTTTGAGTGTTATATAAAACAGCCAGCAAAATTTGAATAAACAACAAAGAACAAGTACTCAGAAAACAGTAGAATTCACTGATCAGATCTAGCAAAGAACCTTATGTGTGATCTCATGTTCTAATGAACACATTTGATGGGCATCCTTCTGTCTGAGACTAAACTAAACAACTAAACATGGTGCAGATCTATACACAATGCAGAGCTATACACAGTCACCTAAACAAAGTGGTATAGCCAGAGATTCCGGACTGTTCTGCCCTACATGTACAAACCTATCAGTGCTGATTTTGAGACAGAGAGACGTTCTGCCACTAGATAACTGACATTCTCAGGTGTTGCTAGGTTAGCTTTCGCTCCCTAGGTTACATTTTTCTTATTAGATTAGCTTTTGCTAGCTAGGTTACCTGTGGCTCACTAGGTTAAGTTTAGCTTTGGCTTGCTACATTAGCTTTCGCTTGCTAAAATAGCTTTGGCTCGCTAAGTTAGCTTTTGCTTGCTAGATTAGCTTTCACTCATAGTTGGTTGCTTAGACTCAAAAAGAATGAGACAATGGCTATTATATAATTTTGATAAAAGCTGGCATGAGGTGGTAGCTTACACAAGCTTTACCCAAGATTAGGACCACCCAATTTGGATTGAAAGCAGAGAAATGATAAGTAGTAATCAGAATTAGAAGTACTTGTGGACATTGAACAGTCACCAATTTACATTTATAGGGTCTACATGCATATTTATTGATGCACACAGTTGATAAAACCAGCAGCTGTTAGCCAGCCAGGTAAGCCATGCTTAGACTAGATTAGCTGTATGGTTAGGCTTAGGCTTATGGTGGGCTAGCTCTGAGCTTAACTTTAAGCTATAGCTCTCTAGTTTTGTGATGAGGTTTGAGAGTGACAGCAATGGCTACCAATTAGCATTTTTGCCATATTTAAGGTATTCTACCAATAGCCTATGTCCCACCAAAATTGTTCAATACACAGAATATTTTTCAAAAATTGACTGTTTTTTAAAGTGTCATTTTACTATATGTATTTGTATTTTAATGGTAAAAACAATACTTTGCATTATAAGTTTATTTGAAGTAATAATTATTTTACATTGAGATGGGTGACAAAAGAAAAACCTAAATAAATGAGTGGAGAAACATAAATGTAGATGCATCAAGACAAGAGACCCAGTTTTGGATCAAATTGGCAAAAGAAGGATACAAGTGACTCTGAAAAAGGGGTCATTATTGGGTCACAAATGGCAGGAGCTTCAGTCACAAAGATTGTGTTTCAATAGGAACAGTGACTACATCTGGGTTTAGATCATAGGAAAGACATCAATAAACATGGTTGTAAATAAAAGTCTTTCCATAAATACAGAGAGAGGGCCATTATAGTAGGGCTGCAGTGCATAAACCCCTCATTACAAAGACGTGCACATTTCAGAGTTTAGTAGTGTAAATACTATAATCACTGATCTACAGACATGTGGAAAAGAGTAACATAGTCAGATGAGCCATTCCTCACCATATTCTTTAGAAGTAGGTGAGTGCATGTGTGACATACACCAAGCAAATAGTACAGACCTTAACGTTTGACCTTACTGAGGCAGTTTGATTACTCTGTTATGCCATGGGGGCATTTTGCTGGCATAGTTTGGCACCACTTGTCCACTTAGAGGCATCAGGTCACTGCAAATCAATACAAAGTTATTCTGGCTGACCACCTTTATCCTATGATGAAACATTTGTATCCTGATGGGAGTGGTCTGTTCCAGCATGACAATGCCCCCATCCACAGTGCATGAGGGGTCACTGCTAGGTTTAATGAGCATGAAAATGATGCTATATGCTTGGAATATTATTGAACTGTATAATTATTATTACTTTAAATGAGCTATTAATACAAATTTCACATGTGATTTTATATAATATTTCTTAATATTTTACATCATTTTAATGTGAATTCTTTTTTCTTTTTTAAATACACTGTGCATGCATTCTTTGGTGAGACAAAGCAAACGTCATCTATTTGTAGAATGTCTCATTTATTGCCTTAAAATAGCCCAAATATAATATTTATGCACTCCGTGAAAAACTCTCAGTGATTACAGAGCCTTTCTAAGAGATACTCAGCACAGCACTCGTGTTTTTTCCCCACCTGAATTCCGGATGATCTCCACCCGTAATCCGACAGACCCCGCCCATTTTGCACTTTGATTGGCTAGTGGTTCGTCATCGCAAGTAGTCTGCTCTAGAACGCTTCGTGATAATTAACAGCCAATCCTGGCGCAGGAGGGGCGGGGCTTCTCCGGAAAACGGGTGTGGAAAAAAAATCGCACCGCCGCTGCGGCAGAGAGTGACGTGAGCGTTTAAAAAAATAAAAAATAAATAAATAAAACGCGGACATGTCCGAACACAGACCTTGCGCGTGATCCACTCCAATGAATAACAAACCGCGAGACAACACTTCAGACCCCGACATGGCGCGAGGAGGGTAAATAATAATCACAATTGCATTTACAATAACCATAACAATAATAAATACATCACAATAAAAAGTAAATAAATATGATCGTTAAGCGGATGTGCTACCTGCCAGGGAGAATACGGAGGCTCGCACGCGGATGCAAGACGCGCTTGCGACGGCGGCGGCCACCGGAGACACGGCGCGCGCTGAAGAACTGCTGCGGAAAGGAGCTGACGTCAACGGCACGAACAGGTTCGGGAGAACACCTATACAGGTAAAAATCAACATAATCATCGTCATCATCATCACTGTCATCATCACCTGGGCAGGAAATAATAATCATAATAATAAAGCACTTATCATAATAATAATCATAAAAACGAGATATTCAGAATCAGAATCTTTGTTCTCCAAGCGCAAGATGTTCAAATGATTGCTCTTGGTGCTGATATCAACATAAATTCCAACAAATACAGAAAATTAATATAGACAGATACATAAGTTTAACAATACACAAAATAATCTACGCTTGTATGCAAAAGGTTGGCCGTCCCTGCTCAAATTGCGTGTTTTGATGATTTTCTAAGTGAAAGTAAGAAGGTTTACATCCTCTACAGAGAGCACACTTTTGTTTATTTTAATGCACTAACGCACAATTACTGTTTATTTGCTAGATTTAACATGTTAGAGATAAAATAAAACATTAAATGTAGCCTATGCAAAGCTTATGGCACATTTTCTATTTGATATTTTATTTGTCCAATGTGTTAAACTAATAAATAAATAAATAGAAAGTGAGCACTAAAATTTGCAGAAAAAAATACATATTTAAGTTTGTTCCCTGTGGAGAATGTCAACTTATTTTCGCTTGGAAAATCAATAAAACATGTAAGTTGAGCAGGGGTGCTCAGACTTTTGCATGCGACTGTATGTATACGTGTGTGTGCGTAGTTGTGTGTTGATTACAGAAGAGGGAAGTGGGAAAGATCCAGGAAGACGACAGTCTTATTCTATGTACATACAAATATATGTGTATGTTCTTCACAACCAAAGCAAACGTGCTTATTCTGTGGCTTCACTTAAAAACCCTTTCAGGCACTTCATTTAGGAGTGTGTTATGCCTTATATGCGGATGTGTTACGTACGTGCATGAGTCTCTTCACATAAAATCGGTCGTAATATTGTAGGAACTTTACTCTGTCAGTAGCCAGGTTAATCTCCTAATTTGTTGTCTTATCTAAAAGAACAACACACAAAATACAAGATCAGAAATGCAGTAAACCAGCCAACCAGCTCCCGAACACACACAAAAAAAAAATACTTCAAAATATAACATATAAACAAATAAATGATACCACAGTGAAGTGTTAATACAACACAGTGTATATGATAGTTAACTCTATGCGTGTGTGTGTTTGCTCTCTTTAACTGATGAGTGCTTTTTATATAAATTAAAATTATAAATTGCGCAAATGTACTCATATATATATATATATATATATATATATATATATATATATATATATATATATATATATATATACATGTGTGTGTGTGTGTCTTTATATTGTCCTACAATTGACAATAAGCAAGTGCTGCAGCATTTCTAATAAACTGTACAGATTAAAAACTCTACAGAGAATACACATGTGCATGTTAATACACAGTTACTGTTTATTTGCTGAATTCAAGATATTGGGAACAAAATCAAACATTAAACGTGGCCTGTGCAAAAGTTATGGCACATTTTATATATAGAGAGATTTTTTTCCAATATGTTAGGCTCTGAGCAAATAAAAATAAATTTTGCTATAGAAATTAAAGTTTTGCTTTATTTAAGTTAGCTCCCTGTGGAGAATCCATTAACTTTTTGACACTTAGAATTAACATGTATTTAACCAGCAATATTTGCATAAGACTGTATATTGGTCATTGGTTTTGAGAGGAAAAAAATACTTTTGAAGTGAAAGTGTAAAGTTAGACTTTGGGGTAAGAAGTCTCCCTGGACATGGGGGAGAAGAGCCCCTTTAGCATATTACCCCCGATTTTCATCAGGGAGACACAAAGTTGTTCGTTATTGTTTTAGTTTGGGCAAGATAGCATTAGTATTATGTGCTAGCTGCAGGTATCATCAGCAGTGACACACAAGCACACACACACTGGAGTCAGCATTTATATCATTTTGCTGGAAGTGAGTGTGTGTGTGTGTGTGTGTAAAATTATCATTATGAAAGTATGGTTATTTGCAGCCAAGAAATCATTTAAAACTTTATCGCTATTTATCTGGGCAGTAAGTGTGTTTTGTTAAAGGTGAATATATAAATAAACACAGGGTTTGTTTCTGACTTCTCTCTGCAGTCTAGTCTTTGGGTGGAAATTCCATCAGTAGCACCTGATTTAATTTAATAAAGGATTGATTAGATAAACTAGGTATTGGATGGGAATTGAGTTTATACTGAGCTTCCTCCAGGAAAAATAATTGAAAATAGTTAAGCCAACACACTTAAACCTCACATACATCAAATCACAGTGTACTGCTTATTTATTTACTGTGTATATATATATATATATATATATATATATATATATATATATATATATATATATTTAGGTTTGCTCCCTGTAGTGGTTGTGTTAACGTATTTTCACTTATACTATATGTATAGTTGGTGGTCGTATTGTTTAAAAAAAACAACAAAAAAGAGGGAATGGCAGATTAAAGCTCAGTGTGAGTTATTAGCTTCAGATAAATATGAATCTAAACAGGTCCTGGCAATCTTACAGTGACTGCGTTGTTTTAGTACTACTTTGGTAGAACACACAAAAGAGGAAACCTGGTGTGTGAACATCAACTACGAATGACTAAAATTTAAATAATAATATAGACTGTAGACATTACATACTAAAGGGCTATAAAGCCCATGGAGTTTAAAACAATTGTGCTGTCGTGAAGAGCACAGACACACACACTCTCGGTGTTACACTAACACATGCGCTTTATTATTATTATTATTATTATTATTATTATTATTATAATTATTATTATTATTATTATTATTAGTAGTAGTAGTAGTAGTAGTAGTAGTATATGTTATTATATATATGTTTTGAGAATCATTGCATTTCACGCTTTGTTTTGCATTTGTATGTATTTTATTTTTGCATTGTTTATTTCATTGTGATTCATCTGCTTATCTTATATGCAAAGTTCATTTTCGAGAATGAAACTATTATAGGGAAATCATTCTCGATAATAATTATATGTTTATTATTATTATTATTATTATTATCATAGGTTATGATGATGGGCAGTACTCGGGTGGCGCGCTTGCTGCTGTCTTGCGGAGCGGAGCCTAATGTGTCAGACAGGAGCACAGGCGCGTCCCCCCTGCATGACGCCGCGCGCGCGGGCTTCCTGGACACGGTGTGCGTGCTGCTGGAGTTTAAGGCTGATCCGGAGCACAGAGACAAGCGAGGCAGAACACCAGCGGAGAGCGCGTGGGAGGCAGGACACAATAACCTAGCGGAGTATATCAACAACATCGCAATCACCTAAACAACAACTATAATCATAACAACAACACGGACTATAAAAACAACAACACCAACAACGATAATAATAACCTGTTTCATGAGTAAACTTCACAGAGAAGAACGTTCTCAGTTATCCAGATCAATTGAACGGTGGTGGTTGTGGGTGTGTCAGTAATGCAAGGTCAGAACACTTTTTGTCCACAGCACACAGATAGAAACCTTTACCCTAGCATTAGCCAAGGCTAAGTAGTAATGCTAGGCTTATATAGTGTAGTATTATATAACAAGCTGTAACTTACACAAATACTTTAATGTGTTTTGCTCAAAAATGTGTTCTTTCAGGTTGATCTGGTTGCTGCATGCGCATCCCACTTTTACCGTTACCACTTGGTGACTGGCTGTTTTTTAAGTGGAGGGGCAGAACTTTCCATAATATAGGCATCATGTTAAGGGTAAAGTGCTTGCCCATTCAGATTCCCATCAGTGAACTGTCTTCTCCACCTTTGTAATATCTCTGATATGGTGTAGCATTAAATAGTTATCTATGAACTAGAGTTGCAATAAGACTTTAGCTAAAGTCAATGAGGCTGCATCCAAAACCACATATTATACCTATATTACTATACAAAACTATACCGTACTATACTGCATTATACTATTCTATACTATGCTAATACGTGTACTACTAAAGGGGATGTCTTATTTTGACATGCTGTTTATTATGGTAGTATGTGGTTTTGGACGCAGTCAATGCTTGTAAAGCTCGAAATCAAGCCTGTCCAAAAGGAGAAGAAGTAAGGAGCATTTCTATTCGGCTTTACTGAAAAAAAAATTTGATTTGTGAATTAAATGTGTGAAAACTCAGCGCTAAGTGAAGGCTGATTTTGGGTTCGACCGACATCATGACTAATAATTTCAATAAACTCTACTGAGCTGAGTTATAACTGAATTGACTCATTCTGAAAATTCGTAATGAATGGTCAGTAGCGCGCGCGCAGAGTTTACATCATACAACCTTTATTTTATTACTAATAAACATTATTGTTTTGCGTGCGCAGAGCCGATACTCAAACGAAATCTACCTTATTATTATTATTATTATTATTATTATTATTATTATTACTACTACTACTACTACTACTACTATTTTAAAACTGTTTGTGCAATTTTACCTTAAAGCTTTAGCTCCTTATTTATTTACAGTTTAAAGTGTGTGTGCGCTGAATGTGAGCTCTATAGCGGATTTATTCTGCAGAAACTGTTTAAAACAGCAGTTTAAGACTGGAGATTATTGTATATGCTTCACTCAGAAGGTTATTTATGAATAAAAAAATCATTGGTTCTTTTAGTTCAGTTAATTTAACTATGTTTGCTTTACAAAGCGCTCAAACCCTTTAATGAGTTTATTTAGTGCTTTATTTTAAAGTGAACGAATAAGCGTTATTGCGTTTGAGCTTTGTCCTGTATTTCTGTATTTTTCTGCTCTCTTGAGTGTAAAAGTCATCGCTGGTGTCTGATTTGTATCTTTGAGGTATCAGATTAGATGATTAAACTCGCTGTGCTGTTTATTTTCAGGCTTTGTATCAGTGCTGTTGTATGGTGTGTGTCCGTGTTAATAGGATTTTAAAAATGACTATTTCATCACACGGACAGAAATCAAAATGACTGTATTTATTGATTTTATTAGCGTACTTTTTTTTTTTCTTCCAAAATTGTTTTACATTTTAAGGGCAATTTATGAGCGAGAAGACACGATACTGTATAAAGTGCTTGTTTTTGAATTTATTGTCAAAATGATAACAGAAATGTTGGTCTTTTTTAAAAGTTATAACAGCAGGTCGGAGATGTTTCTCTCTCAGTGCAGTTTGAAGTTTGAAGCTAATTACAGCGTGTGTGTGAAAGAATGTAAATAAGTTCTTTAAACTTGAACATAAACAAATGAGGGTTTGCAATACAGGTCAAATGACTGGAGCTTGCTGGAGTTTGTTTATTTCAGTTCATGTTTCAGTTAAAGCTTCTCCAAACAGCAAGTCATCATCCCAGCAGCGCTGCTCTTTAAAATCCAGTCTCCGTTTTACTGTCTGCAGTAAAGAGACTAGTCATCAGATTAATAAGGCTGCAGCACTCACACACAGCAAGCTGGAATATTTTATTCTGTACAGAAGAACTTTTTATACCTTACCATGCGCTGCAGTCAGTGGTGTGTGTGTGTCTAACTTTGGTATTACAGAATATAAATTAACAATTTATAATGGTGCTGCTTACGTTTTCCATTTCCATTCACACTAGAAACACTTCCATTTCAAGGGTAAAGCAGACTAAAATGAAAAAACTTTTTTCTGAATTCTTATGTAGGAAACTGTGGGGTTAATGGATCTCATAATACTACAACGTGTTGTTTGTGTTTTTAAGGACGCCCCAAGAAGGTTAATTAGGTCACCCTGAACCCACCCAGGACCCCCTTTTTTGAGCTTTTGGCTTTAAATTTTCATCGCTTTAGGTGCCTTTAAATTTTTGTTTTCCTTTTTTCCTTCTGTAAACTAGACTGCAGACTGAAAATGATAAACACATAACAGTATAAACTAAATACAGTCTACTATAAGCGATTGTAGAACTATGAAAATAACATTAGCTATTTTTTTCAGAATGAGGTGCATTTATTTATGTATAAAGCGTGAAAGAGTTCAGAGAATATAATTACTTGATCGACGTTAAGCCTGATTGATTGGATAGGAATGTCGTCAAATCCAACTTTACATCTTCTAATAACGTGCTTTGATTTGCATTCTTACATTACTGAGATTAGTCAGCTAGCTAGCCTTACACTCAGGTCAGCCCACCATTGTGGTGGCAAAAGGGGCACGAATGTTAAATTGTAATTTGAGTATACATTTGTTGTGTTGAACAACAGCAGTAAAGTTGTAACACCACAGACAAAATTACTCAAATCTGAGCTTTTCGAAAATTGGTTCGTTGCCACAAATATTGCATTCATGCTGTTATTTTATTTAATTTCTTTAAAATATCTCAATGTTTATGAGTAACACCACTGATCACAACATATTTGCAACACGAAATTTTTAGAATTTTAACTAAATTTATCAGAAATATAAAAAGAGACTTCACTAAACGTGGATCACAATGGACCTCTCAGAGTTCAGTCTTTCTTCATTTGAGATAACCATACAAGGACTAATTCAAAAAGATGTCCCTGTTTTTATCTTCCTGTAACACTATGGGACAATCTATTATAACAGTACAATTAGACTTATATAGTTAAAATAAATAAGGATAGGGCAGACAATAATTGCAATACAATTTTACAATTTAAACTGAAAAACAGGCATAAATGTTGTTTCGCGTAAAAATAATACTTAAACCTAAGCGTCTCTAAACTTACTGCTGTTTTTTGTGACGCCCATGATTAAAATCACAAAATAAAAATTCAAAAAGAAGAATCATTGCACTCTCAGAAAAAAATGACTAAAGTGTCACTGGGGTGGTCTCCTTAAGGGTGCATCTTCAGTATCAGAAAATGTATTAGTTAGAAAATGTAACTGTACCATAATCCATTGCAATTATAATTGTTTAACTTTATTGACTCCACACAATCTATCTTATCTCCAGCCTTTACTTTACTGCTCTGTTTTAAACATTAGATTATGAAGAGGTATAAATATGTACCTCTACTCTAAGAAAAACTTACTATACACAATTGGACCTTAAAACCACTGTTGTACCTTTGAGAGTACAACTACATCGTTTGTAACTTGATGAACATAAACAGTACCTGTTTTGTTGGTTAATTTAAGAATACAACAAATATTACACATACTTCAACTTTCTGTGGTTTACTCTTATTTTTGAGGTAACTATATGTGTTGTGGGACACCAGTTACCGCTGCAGTGGGGGAGTGACCCATTACTGAGTGTTAGCGGTGACTGCGGAGCTGCGGCCAGAAAAAAGCGCAACACAAAAAGGCTCGCGCAGCTTATACGACTCTCGATTGGACGAGCGTGCAGACTTTGCTCTCAGCGGTCACATCAACATCGAGCACAACGTACATCTATCGTTGCGTTTAGGTAAGTCAGAGGTGGGTGGGTTTTCATGATTACTGAAAAAATGTGCACATTTATTATGGATTTATATTGAAACATGACAATGATTGGACTGAAATTATCTCATTTCCAAATTAGTAAAATATATTATCTCAGCATAATTGTCTTTGTTACATTTGATGGTTGAGTACTGAGGCAATATATTTTATTAATGTGGAAAGATAAACACGTTGTTCAGTGTGTTACAGTGGCAGAGTAAACAACGCTTTCACTGCGCCATTAGCCTCAATCTTGCTTCAATTCGAATAAAAGTGGAGACTTTTATTCGAATTAAAGCAAGATTGAGGCTAATTTAGAACAACGAGATTCAAAACACAGAATGTGAAACAGACGAAAGTGTGCATTAAATTTAATGATGTGCTTAATCTTCGTAAATAGTTATAACAAGCAGTAATTATTTTGGCCATTAACAGTTTCAAACTGCTTCAATCTGCAGTGAAGCTAGCTGTAGTCTTGCTAACGTGAATCTGTCACATTATCTAATTATAATAAGTTAACTAGATATAGCTAGCCATTTAGCGAATGCAAAGTAGTTAGAAGCAGTGTTGTTTAAATCTGCTGATAATCTGCAGAAACTGTTTTGTCATAAACAATTTCAGTGTGTTGTCTACAGTAAAGTGAAGATAGTTAGCATATCGTTTTGCTAACACTTATTTAACAACATGGCTAATGCAGTGTAGAACCAATGGTTTCGCAAATATAGGCTACTGCTAATTTGGTAAACATTTCGGATGCTTCATCATGCCTTATTCTGCTATATTTGCTAATATGCTACTAAAGTAATACTAAAGCCTGCATTAACAGAAAAAGACGTAATTTTGGCTAAAAGAAAGGCAAATGAAAAAAATCCACCCAACATGATGATGATTGAAAATTAATTGTCACAAAGGGCTATAAATTCAATATTATATATTTATATATAACAGAATTTTAGTAAATTTCAGTCGCTGCCATGCTAACATTAACGTGAATAACAGAAGAGAAAAAGCACAGCTTGTGCATGTAACACTTTTATTGAAGCTACAAAAGTACAAAACCAAGGTTTAGAGGATATGAATAGATATAAGAGCGGTTTCAACTACACAGATATATGCCATGTACAAAACAGAAAGGAACACAATAAGTCTATGCAGCTGCAGTCTCACTTAAGGAGAGCCAGAGGATGGATGCATATGCCAAAAAAACAAACAAACAAACAAAAAACTGGTATAAAGATCTGATAAAAAGTAGAGATTATTGAAATGTCATGCAGATATTTCTGTGGGCCATGCTGCGGTTTATCACTTCAAAAATAGAAACTGTGATTGAAATAGCTGGGTCTACCTTGGTAAGCCCAAATCATATTTTTAGCACAGTGTAACATGAGTAAAACATAAGTAAATCTCAATCCAAAACCAAAAAACATATTATGTATGTTCCAAAAGCAGCTCTGAAAGATGCTAAAAGCAGACCAGAAGAAGGAGACATAACACTATAAATGCTAAATGTGAATGAATTTAAAATAGTTGCATTCCCACTATCTGACCTCTCTCTGCCTCACTAGAGAGGATGTACGTCTGTAAAGAAAACAAGGCACATAATAATCAGCGAGTAAGCTAAGAGGGATACAAGAAAAGTTGCTCATGGATCACATTCAATGATATACATGCAATTCTCGTTCTCAAATCTCAAACCGTCTCTGAAATGCTAAAAGGCTTTTATTTTTCTGCTAATTTCAGTGTATACCTTTTCTAAATATTTACTTAGTCTAAAGACTAAGAAAAAAAATAAACATACAATATAAAATTTGCCATCATTTTTACACAGGCCACATTCTGACATGTTTTTTTTCTCCCTAATATGTTAAATTCAGAAATTAAACAGTAACTGTCCATTAAAATGTATGTCTTCTCTGCAGAGGATGTGTACTTTTTTCACTCAGAAAATCAACAAAACATGTCACTTGAGCAGGGGCACCCAAACCTTTGCACACAGCTGTATGTAAGTGTATAAACGTAAGGAAGTCTGAAACACGCACATCAGGCACTTTTCATCCGGTATTACGATAAGTGTATGGGGTATAGTGTGTGTACAGATGGGCTGACTCAGTCATCTCTTCGGCTTGAGAGGAGCTTCAGTGTTTGGGCAGCATGACGGAGCTCTGTGCCATGGCCTGTAGCAACACAGAGAGACACACACACATAACTCACACATCAAAACCACACACAACTGCTGTGTTTATGTGTTTGACTGTACTGAAAGGTTGATGCTACAGCTCAGAATTAAACAATGTCTACATGCATTCACCAGCATCCTGCGCAAAGGTCTTTTATGTCGTGAGTGAAGGACGTCTCCTTTGGTAAACATATTGGTATCAATTCCTCTTAAATCTCTTATCCTTAGATCTAAACGTTAAAGCCAACCCTGATCTTAGGATAGTTTCTCAAAGCAAATGTAATTCTGAAATCACAATATTCTTTACAGCTGGTAGAGCTGTAAATCTGGGTTAACAGCTGTTGTTCATCATTATATAGGGTATAACTCTAACTGATGTTTCCTCTCTCCTCCATCCTTGAGCCTGTGACCTGGAAATCAATCGAAATCCACCATCTTCAAGGATATATCAATTCTTTAAATGTGCGTGAGGAAAGAGGAGAGAAGAGGCTTCCAGAACAAGGAAACACGTGCATCCTACACAAAAGTCTTTTATGTTGTGCGTGAAGGACATCATTTGGTAAACACGTTTGTCAATTCCTCTTAAATCTCTTTCTCGCATCCTTAGAGGGAGGAGCTAAGACACAAGAAAAGAATGCGAGGAAAGGAATTAAGGACGAACAATAAAAGATATGAGATCCACCTATAATCATGGGAAAGTCCACCAAGGAAAAACACTATCCAAACAATCATAACATTAGCTAGGCCAGCATTAATTTTAGCTAAATTACCAGCAGTACGGTGGAACTGATAGCTAGAAAGCTACTGAAACTTCTGTACAAATCCTATGAAAATTCCAGCATTTCTCTGTAAGCACAGACAATAATTGTGACACAATTTTACAATTTAAACTTTAAAACAAGCATAAATGTTGTTTCACGTAAAAATGCTTAAACCTAAGCATCTCTAAACTTACTGCTGTTTTTTCTTATGCCCATGATCACTAAATAAAAAATCCAAAAGAAGAATTATTGCACTCTCAGAAAAAATTACAAAAGTGTCACTGGGGTGGACTCCTCAGGGGTACATCTTCAGTACTTTTAATTAGGGAACATAACTGTACCCATAATCCATTGCAACTATAATTGTTTAACTTGTATTGACTCCACACACTCACTCTTATCTCCGGCCTTTTATTTTACTGCTCTGTTTTAAACATTAGGTTATAAACAGGTATGAATATAAACTTATTTAAGGTACACAGTTGGACCTTAAAACCATTGTTGTACCTTTGACAGTACAACTACATTGAACAAAAACTGTACGTGCACAGTACCTTTCTGTTGGTTAATTTAAGAATCAATTTTCTGTGGTTTATTCTTATTTTTTGAGCTTATGGTTAATGGGAGAGTGACCCATTACTGTGTGAGCTTGTTTACACATTGCATTAACATGTGTTTCATGCCTCTATTTTTTCTAGATATACTTTGGCAGGATTACATTTACACTTTTTCACTAAAATGTGTCCCCAGTTTGACCAGACAAGATCTAATTTTATTTTCCTGAAAGCACATCATTACAAACAGTCATGTGCAAAAGTCAGAGACAAGAGCCTTCATTTTTGGTCAAAAAGAACCAATAAAAGTATGTGGGTGTGTGTACTGAATGCCTGTGGTGTTGAATTTGATCAGGATACGTCTATGACCACCTCTGAATGTGGTTTCTGATCATAAACCTATCACGGTGCATCCACAATCGCATGTTTACTTTTCATGCACTGAAATGAAATCCGAATGTCATCCAATCACCAAAATGCAGAGGTTGATGCAAAGTGTAAACAGCCTTAATGACTCCTCTACAACTCTCACTAAACTTCTTTATCTCCTACTACAGTTCTTCTACAACACCTACGTCGTGGTCCTGTACTAGTTTTGTAGATGAAGGATAAGGTAGTGAATGCTCCCCAGAATTATTTTGGCCAGTGTGTAGGAGAACGCTTCACTTTAATCTTCACTTCACTTCCACGGGGTTTGGTTAGTCAAGCACAATTTAGTGCCTCCACAGAGGAAGCTCAAATTGCCATTGTGTCTTTGTCTGATGATAGGCTTAGATTCGTTCATCTTTACTTGCTGGAAATTCTTTGTATCCATGACCCACCCACAGATCACACAGGGTCTACAGGACGAGCTGGATTCCAACACTAGCAGTGTTACTCAGATGTGGGTTGGGTTCATCACAGAGTGAATTAAGTATGTAGGTTGTTGAACGCCAGCCAACTCCAAGCCTGGCAGGGTCATCACCATGAAAACAAAAAGACAGGAATCTTACTCTCTCTCTGAGTGGCTGTGGAACACTTACTCCATGTCCGGCGATGGTTTGCTCCCAGTCCATCTGGCAGATTAGCGGGATGGCCGTTAGCAGGATGCTGCTGGCTTTGTTGGCGTTCTCCTTCATGGTCTTCAAGACATTATCCACACAAACCTGGACAAGCCACGCAAACAAAATCCAGTTACAGATGCTCTCAATTTAAGACAACCTCATTTATGTTTATTTAAAATGTGTTGTGCACATATTCTCTGTTCTCAATTAAAAAATAATTTACAACTTTCCATTCTTAATTAAAAACGCGTTAAAATACTGTCACTCTTGTACTTTGTCCACTTTCCTACCCTTTATCCAGTAAACAGAGTTTTCCCCTATAATGCTGAATGATGCAGGATACATAAATAAAGGAATATGAAGCCATTCCTCTACATAAAATCCTTCATTTCTCCATATAAAACTCTCCAGATTTCATTATTTGGGAATCTCCTCTTCAGGCAACAGGTTTACAGCAGGGCGGACGGACGGGATGGCAACTGCAGAAAGCTTCATTCAAAGGTCAGTGAACCATTTATCATTTAAACCATTAATTTAATTAAATATCAGTAAAGCTTTGCTGATATGGATTTCTGAGGTGCTGCTAATTCATATATGATTTTACCTTTGAATAGTTTCTGCTTTATGAAAAGGACTGATTTCAGATTCACATGATAAACAACAGACATTTCTGTAGCCTTTCTTGCTCATAATAAGTAAAGGTGCTAATAATTCTAGTTAATTTAAAGACACTCACTTTGAGAATGGTCTTAAGTCTGGTACACACATGCAAAATGATGAAAAACCTTATCCTTTAATTTGAAGCTGTCTCACTGTATCCTTTTAATTTGCCTCTGAGACAGTATGTTCCATTAAAAGAGAAAATAAATATTTTTAATAGTTAAAAAAAAAAAAGAGCTTTGTGTAGAGCAGGCAGGTATGTATACCTCGTACTGCCTCCTAAATATGCATTTCAGTTTGCAGCTTTACAGTAAGGAAGGTTAACAAGGGTTTCTTTACTAATGTAAGCTTGATAAAATCTCTGTTGTCTAACCTGCTGCTTTCAGAGCTACTAAACTGGAAGTGCCATGTGTGCCCTGCAAACAACATTTAGCTTATATACGTTGTCTAACATTCTGAGAATACATTGCTGTCAGGTCAGAGGTAGTAAGACTGAAATACTGCCAACCTCAAAAAGCATAAAACAAACACCATCATTGTGCTAAATTAAACATACTACTGACTTACACTACTACTACTACTTATAACTTAGAATTTCAAAGGGTGATTAACAGCTATTTCATACCATCACTGAGAGATTAAAGTGGACTTTTAAGTACATTACTGCATTTTGTTATTCATTTTTGTTCTTTATACTTTCCATTTCCCTGTTTTTACTCCTATCTTTACTCCCAATTAAATAGTTGCAAACATATTAACAACATGAAACTACTGAGTCACTGGGGTTTAGAACTCACTGATACAAATTACAACCAGATACAGTCAACAAAACACCATGAAACACACACTTTTGGAATTGTTTGCATTAATGTGGACACTGAGACAGATATAGTTAATCAGCATCAAGTATAAAAACGTACCACGTTTAAATAAATGGCCAGATAATGAGCGAGTACTTCTGCCAGTGAACCGCGTTTGCACAACCAACACTTTCAGTTTCTTTTCTACAATCTGATGTACGCCGATGTACAAGTGTAAAAATAACATGCAGCGACATCCTCAGGTGCCTCAGGTACAGCAGTAGCAAGGGGTGTCATTTTCGTGGGAGAGGCACTATTGTTACAATATTATTATTATTATTATTATTATTATTACTACTACTTCTATGAAGTTTGAGCACCACACACACACACAATTACACCAAAAATCAGTGTATGTATTTGTACATACAATTATGGCCAGTGTGGATATTAGCTAACTTTAGTTATAGGAGCTAGCTTAAGATTGACAAAATCAACTTCTGTATGATAACAGATAGTATTAACGTTAACACCAGCTAGGCTTGCATAACTAAGTCACTCCATTTCACTCTGTAACAGAGCTAGAAAACTTTAATGCCAGTTAAATTAGTGCTGACACACTGGATTATCAGCTCATCAAATCATTTACATCAGTCAATCGTTTGATCAGTAGTTTTGAACATTTTAAACTAATTTCATCTCTTCATCTTCACTACATCATCTCACAACTCATTACTTATAAAGCAACCATGGAAATGTGTGTAGTGTAACCATGGAAATGGATAAGCTGTAACAATGATAATGGGAATAGCATGACTATGGAAATGGGGGTAGTCCAATGGTCCTCTTCTTGGAGACTTACTTTCCTTAGTTTAGTTCCAATGTGCATCTAACAGGCTGCTGCCTCCCATACTTTGCACTAATGCATCTGATCCAGCCAATCAAGGACTTCCATAGAAGTTAACTAGGTGGAGCAGTATGACATATTGTGGTTGGAACTCCGCAGGAAGGCAGATTTACAAGACCAGGGTTGGTGACCACTGGTTAAATTTAAACATGGCAATGAGTGCAGCCTATCACCAGAGAGACTGGCAAGGCCTGTTGCTCTACATGCCCAAGAACCACCTATTCTGACAGAAACAGTCTATTTGACTACATAAGCAACACATGCAATCACAGGCTACCTGTACTAGCGTGCAGCCGGAATATCTTCATGACATACTGCATTCCGAAATCCAATGCAGAAACGCTAAATGGGTTCTAAACAGTGACTGGAGGGTTAAGAAAACGAAGATGGTCTTGGGATCAGTTACCCAATCAAAGTGTAGGTATAGAATAATAATATTGACTCTCCGATTGGTCATTTACTCTGGATCTTTTGCTAAATAATCTTCAGAGAGGACTCTGAATGGCTGTGAACATTACAGCCTATTTAATTCCAAACTCCATATTTCCTCTCACCAAATATCCTTGCAGAACACAGCATGTGTGGAACTAAGACAAGGTGTAGGTGTGTATGTCTATGTTATGATTGTTTTCCCATCATCCAGACTATGACAGATGGACAGTAAGATGTAGAGTAGACTTGCATTTTTTTTTACTGATTTAACCACAAACTGTAAATCAGAGGTTTCCAACCATGGTCTGTGGATCAGTACCAGGCTATGAATCAATTGATGCAGGGCCACAATGAGACACCGAGCAAGGGGAGTTAGAAGCCTTTTATTTAAGGCTTATTCTTACATTAAAATATTCATAAACTAATTTTATATCATTTTAAACATCACATCTCTGTATGGCTCCACACACCTGGTTGCTATTGGTAATTTTGGGTTCAGCCCTGTAATGGATGGGTGACCTGTACAATGTGTATTCCAGGAGGGTAAGTGGCTTAGAAAATGTGTGTGTGTGTGTGTGTGTGTGTGTGTGTGTGTGTGTGTGTGTGTGTGTGTGAACGTGAACAAACATTAATTATTTTGATGTTAATGATGTCACTATTTGTTCATTTTACTAAACAAAAATGATACCAAGATGTACCAAGCATCATTCAATCTAAAACATGATGACAGTTGCATAAAGCACAAATTCAATGCCACTGAGGATGCTAATGCGGCCACGCCACTCCACCCCCTTCAGCTGTGTGATCAGTGAGTCAGAGTGAGTCAGCCTCCTCAGCGACTGCCAACAGGGAAAGAGAGAGAGAGAGAGAGAGAGAGAGAGAGAGAGAGAAAGAGAGAGAGAGAGAGAGAGAGAGAGAGAGAGAGAGAGAGAGAGAGAAAGAGAGAGAGAGAGAGAGAGAGAGAGAGAGACGATGGGGCCGGAAGGATGTAGTGTGGGCTGGAGAGGAGGTCAGTGGAAGGAACTCGGAAGGAGGTTTTAAAATGCGGCAGGAACCAAAGCTTGTTTGCCAAAATACACTAATAACACCTGGCAAATGGGCCGGTAGTCCGGCTAGCGGAACACATCGTCTGCAGAATGCATGTGTCTGTGTTGATTGATGTATCTTCAGCAGTCTCGATGTCAACACAAGGCTTATGTAATTATATTTTTTATCATTTTTTTTAAAGGACACAGACAAGAAGAGCAGATAAAGAACTGTGTTTGCATCAGCAATAATGCGTTTAGTTAAAACAATGTGTTCAAAATTGTTTTTTAAAGGAATGCTCATGCAACCACATTCAAAACATTTAAGCTACATTAAATTCTGTCTTTCATGGCCAACATTTAGCTGATGATGCACTACATAAGCACAAACTGAACACAAAACACCATTGTGGTTACAATACAAAAAACAGGGTAAAATGCATCCAAACCTAAGCTTTAGCAAGAAGGTAACATTTCACAAAATGCAGTTAACTGCAACTCACTGAACTCACTGAAAACAAGAAAAATAAGAGGTAATTACCAGAAACTAATAAAAAAATTGCTAAGAATCTTGGGAAGTGCCATCTTCTAGCTGGCTTATGTCTACTTATGTGACAGCAGATGTAATACTATTCAAACTAATGTCTCAAACTCATTTTCCAATATTTGTACTGTAATTTAACTATTTAATATGTTTGCCACAAAAGACATCTGCTCTGTGTCTAAGACATCAGTGGTTTCCTCCGAAAGAATGGAGAAATCCTTGCATCGTGTATTGCTTTACAGATGGCATTCCTGCAGCAAGAGCTTTAACTAGGTCATTTTGTGGTGTATTTCACAAAAGAGTCACTTGTTGCTTCTTATTATGAGGTTGCATAAGATAGATAATATCGAGATGCATTTTGAGAACACGGTTATATTCTGTGCAAGTTTAAAGACCTTTACTCTGTTAAAGCTCTAAATGCTTTCATCATGATCTTTAAATAATACTAATCTGTGCCGAGATCACTAAACGCCGATCCCTGAATGAGCTCCTAATCTGTTCTAGACACTCTACATCTGCTCTACACTATAGTGAGCTCCCTACTAACCATGTTAACACAATTGCTAGTCCACCAAATCTACTCCTGACAGTCCTTTTATGATCATTTTTAATAGTGTCTTTGATAGTGTTAATATTAAATCATAATCCACATAACTATTTATTTATTTTAACTACACTACATCCCAGAGGAGAATAGGCTCCCCTTGTGAGTCTTTGTTCCTTCTCAGTGGTTCTTCACTAAACTCTTAGGATGTTTTTGGTTCTTCTGAATGGTTCTTCCCCATGTTGTTAGAAAGTTTTTCCTTTTGAAACTTTGTTCTTCTCAGCACTCTTACTCATGCCGCGAGGGATTTTTTTCCTGACACTGTCTCCCACTCCTACAGATTTGCCCTCTAGTGAAACTGTAGTATTATCATCAGTGACCTAAACGACTACAATCCAATCGCACTCACACCTGTCATAATGAAGTGCTTTGAGAGGCTGGTCCTACATCAAAGCCAGCCTCACACTAAGCTTCGACCCATACCACTTCACCTACAGGGCAAACAGGTCCACGGAAGACGCCATCACCACTGCTCTTCACACAGCACTGACCTACCTTCAACACCTGGGGAACTATGTGAGCATGCTTCTCATAGACTTTAGATCTGCCTTTAACACACTTATTCCGGGCAGACTGGTCACTAAACTCAATGGCAATGGCAAATGGCACGGACAACGCGACCGTGATTGGACTTATCTCGAAAAGAGAACCAGACATCCTACAGGGATAAAGTCCAAGGACTTCTACAAACCCAGATCCGTTATACATCAACGGGGACAGTGTGGAAAGACTACATGATTTCAGGTACCTGGGTATAAACATTGCTGAAGATCACTCCTGGACCACCAACACCATGGCACTAGTAAAAAAGGCACAGTGGCGACTCTACTTCCTGAGAATCCTTAGGAAAAACAATCTGCAAGAGAAGCTACTGGTGTCTTACTACCTACTCAGCAGCAGATAGGAGAGGCCTTCAGAGAGCCATCAAAACACAACTGAAAAAAAAAACAAAAAAAAAAACACACAGCTTCCCACTGCCCTCCTTGGAGGAGGTATTCAGGGCCCACTGCCTCAGCAGGGCAGCCAACATACTGAAAGACCCATCCCACCCTGGACATGACCTGTTTGACCTGCTACCTTCAGGTAGAAGCTATAGGGCCATCATATCATGGACAAACAGACTAAAGAACAGCTTCTAACCCAGAGCAATAAGAGCACTAAACACTCGCCAACACTGACATTGCACACTGCCACCCAGGCACTGAAAGCACAGGAACTCAGTGTCTATCGGTTCATCCCAATATACGAACAGGAATGCTACAAAAATGTTTACATTCATTGGCACCTTTATATTTATATATTCATATGGACTGTAAATAGAATTACTACTATTCATAAATGTGCAATATCTTCATGTATATCACAGCTGCTACATTCTTTTATATACACCCTTTTTTACTTCTTTATAATTTTAAATTATACAGCCTTTTACTTCTATTATCTTGCATTTTATATTAGCCTGGACTATATTAGCTTTTATTTTTTTTATTCCTAGTTGATGTCAATTTTGTTGTGCTCTGTGCAATGACAGTAAAGGAAACTTAACTTATGCAGGTTTTATGCAGCAGCATTCCTAATAGTTTGCTTAAAATAGGAAGTATTCATTTTTATCCAAACAGAGCAGTGTTTGAGCTCCTGAGTGACCTGTGCAGAAGGACATGGGGCTGGATTAATCCAGCTAGCTGAGAGACTGTGGCGATTATTCCTTTCCATGGCATTACACCCTGAACACGCCGTAACCGCTGGCAGCCTTACAAGAGTTTAACAAAACATTTCTTCTCAAGGATTCTGTGTCCTAAGCAGATTCACAGCATGCCAATGAATCAGTGTTGAGGTGTCATTTAGCTAAATGCCTGTACTGAGGAATGGTGAGCTGTTCAGGGTTTTCTATGGGTTTCAATGAAGAACATTTCACCACAGACGGAATGATCAGCACATTTATCCAACACAAGACACAAATTTTAATTTAGCCAATAAACTGATTTAAAATACATGATGTCATTAACTGTTTTTAGTCCTTTTTTCAAGGACTAAAGCATTTTTTATTAAACTGAGTCTATAGGGTTGTTTAATAGCATTAACAATTATTTAATGCAGCACCACTCTATGTAACTTTGGAGGAGCGGGCATGAAACCTCTCGCAAGAACTGCGTAATGCTTTACAACACCACATCACACCCCAACAACTCAGCTAGCTATAAGAAGAGCAAGAGAGTAAATATCAGACTGGCTTTTACTCTTTGGCAAGAGCTAAAAGAGATAAAAGGACACAAGACAGTCTCACAGCTAACGGGAAAACAGTGAAAATCTGACAGCAGTGTGTACATCCCTGCCAATGTTCTTCATTGAATGACAGGCTGTAACCTTATCAGTGCCAACCCTGTCTCACAGAGTTTTGTAGCTTTTCCAGATGCCAAAAGTCATCTAACCTCAGTTCCAGAAAAAAAGAATATGATTCATTACCAGGGACACAGAGGGATTTTTGTTTGCTTAATATAAAAAATAATTATAGATTCATCGTTTCAGTCCCTTAATGATGCTATGGACATATCTGACAATGCATTATGAAACCACAACATAAGGAAAGACTGAAAAAGGCCTGAAGGTGTTTTTTTTTTTTCAATATTAAATGCCTGCAAGTGTGTTCTAGCTGTACTGGGAAAAACTGTATTTGAAGCTCATGTAAGAATGTTCAGCGTCCAAGGGCTGAACGTTCTACAGCATTCAGGACAACAATTTGGTGCCTGGAAAAAGATCAGTCCACCCAAACATCAGAGGATAAAAAAAAAACCTCTAAAACCTTTACTACATTAGGCTCTTGTTGTTCTAAACCATACGCTTTGACTCCAACAAATGTGTAACCTGAGAAGTAAAATATTTCTTTAAATTAAAGTGACAGCAAAAAATTAAATTGCCCCTGTCCCCCCATCTTACCCCATATATATGTTAACTGCCAAGACATATTTGGCATCTTAAGTTTGCTTCCATAGTTTTAGCACTGGAGCTAAAATAAAGCTAAAATGTAATGCAAGCTGTATAACTTAGCATTGTGGAAACTGCAAGCCTAAGTCACACACACTTGCCTCAAACCATATTGAGTTGTTAAGTAATCTCAAACAGACTTGGTGATGGAGTTTCTGATACTGTATGACATACTGTGGTTTAGAAATACAGACAAAGATCATTAAATAGCTAAAAACAGCACTAGTCATCTTGACACCTGAATTCTGTTGGTACTTTGGTCCACTTTTATAGACAAATTCTACTTTTGAAAATGCAAAAACTATAAAATGCTGCAATAGAAAATAACAATACAAACAGACTTACTGCCTCCTCATGTTCTTTCCAGCAGTCATAGTCAGTTGCCATTGCAATGCTTGCGTAGCACAGGCCAACCTCCTTAGCCAAGACAACCTCGGGGACGGTGGTCATGTTGATGACGTCAGCACCCCACTGGCGGAACATAAGGCTTTCGGCGCGGGAGGAGAAGCGCGGCCCCTCAATGCTCAGCATTGTCCCACGGGGGTGATAACGTATACCCAAACCCTTCACCACGTCTATTAACACCTGAGATCAACACACACACACACACATACATACATATATACACACACACACACACACACTGTACTGTAGCGCTATATTTGAAGTGTTTTTGGAGTTTTTGGCATGACGTTTAAGTTTATTAAGTGGGTAAGCATGTTTATATAGTTACATGGCATTTCCATTAATAAGATGGCCAAAAAATAGTGATGCAATATAAATGGGAGGAAAATCTCTGTTCCAAAAAAAGTGTAAAATAATTAACACTTTAGGTCTTTTCACTATGCTTAATGTACTTTATTTCATAGCTTTTGGATACATTGTTCATTGGAACTTTGTTTTGGAACAATAAACCACTCAAACTGTAACAGTAAATTTTTTTTCTAATGTTAGTGTTTCTTTTAAACAAATTAACACTCACCGCAATTCAGCTAGATATCTTGCTTATGCAGCTCACTAGTCAGGCTGGCTTTACACAGTGAAACTTTCATGCAACTTTATTTGCCTGAAACCTACAAGAAGCTAAATTGCATTTAAGCTGCAAAATGTAAAGTGTCCCTACTTGAAACTCAGCCACAACACCTGAAAGTGTCTCTTCATGAAACATGCTTCATGAAACAGCCAATCAAAGCAGCAATAACGCATTATGTGATCACAACGACAATCGAATGACATACTTAAACAACTAATTTCACCAGAACAATGGGCAAGAGAATAGAACATAAGATGGTTCACTGGTGTGTTGGAAAGGAGACCCCTCTAACTCAAAGATATTTTTTTCTCTTGTCAGTTTCCTGAGCCATGACAGCAAACAAGAGTTTCTCAAAGCTAACATTTCTGTAACCAGCTGCGTTAACTAGCCAGCTAACAGTAGCAACTGTTTACGCAGTTTAAACAGTCTAAACAGAGAGGTGCTTGTGCCACCATTTATTCTTCTTCTTTAGCCTGCTGTTATCATAATCTACATAGCTGGATTCATTTCTCTTCTCATTTTACACAGAGCTCAGATTACTTTGGGACTCAAAGGATGAAAAGTATCACAAAAGGACAGATCGAGATGTGGTCCTCAATTAACTTATAGTGCTTCCAGGGTAGATAAGGCCAAACAACAGTATCTTTGTCTCAACTGTCCAGAGAACATTATTCAAACAATTATCTCCATCTTAGTGCTGTCTGGAAAACTTCAGTTGTGCATCCATATTCTATTTTTAGAGCAGAGGCTTCTTCCCTCCTGATTTTACATGTAGGGCAAAGTCATGCAATCTCTTTCACAGGGCTGACTCACACACTCAAAGACTTCATCTAGTAGACTTAGTTTGCTTTAGGGCTGAATTTGGTGATGCAGCCTGGTCTACACAGAACATCAGTTTAGGTTTTTTTTCATTTGTAGATGATCTTTCAGACAGTGGAGTGTGGACCACAGATTGCTGGGAAAGGCTGTAACACCCTTACCAGGCATGTAGGCATCAACAGTCTTTCTTTGGAGAACCTCAGCGACCTGTAACAACATCACAGCTGCTACAGCCAAACCAGACAACAAGTTTATGATGATTTTGTCATCTGGATTATGTTTACATTATTTGCCAATTATTTGACTAGTTTTGAAACACAAATTTAATTTTTGGCATCTGATGCAATGATAAATACAACTAAATTAATTCCTGTCGATTTAAATATTACAAGTGAGTTCACAAGTGAGATTTGATTATCAGTATTGTTGATATGGCATGAAAATATCTTTACATGTAAATATGTCTTAAAAAACACCCTTAGAAGCAATGTATTTACTTTTTCATAGCATAGTAGTTATAATACATGCAGCATTTTCCTGAGTTTTCATTTCATGTGTGGGGAACTGTTTAGCCTTGTCTCTTGCAGTCATGCCAGCAAGCCTGTAATATGATTTATCTAATCTCTGTAATGCCATAAAATTAACAAAGTGTTAGGAAAATGTATGATGATTTTGTATTAAACTTAAATAAAGCTTTAATTTTTTTTGTGATGTTACCTAAGAAGCATCTGTGTGTAGGAGTGGGAGAAAGCCGTCTATAGTTCCATGTGTTAATGGTGACCCATGCTACTTTTGCAGACATTGTGGACCTGATTTGGTATGACTTCCACTTTCCTGTGTGCGATTCAGTAGTAAAGAGCTAGAGTGGATGAAATTCTATGTTTAACATACAGAACCTTTCTGGTCTAGATCGCTGCTTGCCAATATTAAGGCTACAGTTAAAATGCCTGTCTGTGATTTTTTGCACAGATGTTTAATGCATCTCGCAACCTACAAGCAGTACGTTTCATTGTGTTAAGTTAGCCGTATAGAGTGGTGCCAAGGCAAACGAAAGGAAATCTTGCCGTTGCTATAACATCTCCAAGACATTGGAACACTGTTTACTAAATATTAGAGACTTCAAAAAAATTAGTTTGTAGGTATTATGTTTATATTTTGTATTGCATTTATTGTATTATTATTTTTAGAATTATTATTATTATCTCCCCAGAGCCTTCATAACTATCACTGCAGTTTATGTCTGTTATACAGCCATAGCTAACAGAGAGATGAAATGATTTGTGCATGTGTTTACTTCTCTGGTCCTAGAGCAGAATGGTTCAGCCATAGGGATGTGACACACTCCTGGTAAGCTGCTGGGAGAGCCGTCATAAAATGTCTGCTCTCTCTTGGTGGTCCTTCAGTTCAGAGAGAGAGAGAGAGAGAGAGAGAGAGAGAGAGAGAGAGAGAGAGAGAGAGAGAGAGAGAGAGAGAGAGAGAGAGAGAGAGATTAATGCTGTGAGTGTCTCACCAGTGGCTCTCCTCTGCCCTGAACAGAGCCAGGATCCATATTGAAAATGAAATTAAAACACTGGAAACTTTCTAAAGTGTGTCATGATTACCGCACAGGCTACTTTCCCACAGTTTTTAGTGTGTAGACATGTGTATTGTGTGAGGATGGGCGTTGACACACACTCATATATACACACACATTCACACACACACACACACTCACACTAACACATGCACACCACCCTTCTCTCTTCCCCACACAAACTCTTAAATGTTTGTTTAGTCGGCCTGCTGGATAGGGTTGAGCTGAGTCATGACCAGAAGACATCTCCATTTAACCAAACTGTGGAGTGTCTCAGTGTGTCTGTGTGTTGGAGCCTGTGTGCCTACAGTGGTGAATCATAGCTCAGTCCTCTCTTAAAACAGAAACGTGCTGAAATTTAAACTACTGAAAACAGCCAGAAAGGACACATTAACTAAGTGTTGTGGGTGCCGTTTTGAAGAAAAAGTTTGTTTTCATTTTTTAAATAGAACAATATTACAGCTAGTAGTGCTGGGTGATGATACATTACTACCATCGTAATAAATTTCAGCACAATACTCTGCATAGCTTATGATGGGTAGGGTCCATGAACAACAGCATGGATCACAAAACAGCTGTTTTTTGTGACAATGTAACAATTTATTTTTTCAATAATAAAAATTCATTTCAAACATGTAATAAGTTGTATTTCACATTGACCGGGAGATCACAACCTGAGACCACTTGGCTGGGAGACCAAGAGAACATAACTGGCCTCACTCTCTCTGGGATGGCCCTCCCTCTCCCCCTTTACTCAGCGTGATGCTAACACATGCAGGCATGTGTTCGTTAATATAAGGAGATCCGCAGTTAGCGAACTCATACAAGCATGTTTAGTTGTCCAGTGACATTGCATTAGTTTGAAAAGACATGGTTGAGCTTCACGTTTCTCAGAGGAAGCACGTGCTTGCCAGCTTGGCAGTATTGTGTGATGGGGGAGATCTCAATAGTGGGTAAAACTGGACATGAGAAAGTTGGGGAGAAAATTGGGTAAAAGTAAAATAAAAAAAGAATAAATAAAAACAACTATTTGTTTAACGTGACTAAAATGAATTGGGAAAATTAATTATCAGAAATGAGAACTAAAACCATATTTCTTACTAGTAAAATGTAGTTTTCACATTTATATGTGAAATTTCAGTTTGCTTGTTTAAATTTCAAACATCATGAAACAGGATTAAAAGCTAAAATAGTTTGCCATATTATATTATATTTTTGCCATATATTTCACTCATAGCGGTCAACAATAGTGAAGCACCAACCCAGCGCTGGTATCCGTCTGCAAACCACAGAAGACCTGAGCAATCAATCTGGAATGCACTGTGAGCATGCACTGAAGGTGGTGCTAGACAAGATGGCTACATGGTAAATTAAGATTGATAAGATTGAAGTTTGAACAAAGAAAACAGATGAGGTATGGGGAAAACTTGTGTGTGGCCATTACAGCCACACAATCTTCCTACAAAACCTCACCTGTCCCATGGCAGAGACAGTTCAGCGTCTTCACCATGACACGCAAACAAATATCATTCCAGCCCAGTCAATGACTATCACATGGACTTACAAAGCCAATAAATGGTTCTCCACTGTGTTTAGTGCTGTCTATAATTCTAGCTTTAATGTACGCAGTGCAGGCCTTAACCACCATACAAGACAAACCACATTTCAGTGCTATACAGTGAGAAAGAAACGGAGAATTGTTTCTCAGGAAGACAACGTCAAACGTGACTTTAATATGTTTCTGAGCTCTCTGTGTAAGCCAATACGCCAGAACGTAAAAGAATTCATGGTGGAATGTAAATAATTGTCTGAAAATGTGCGAGCAAATATCAGTTTACAACCGCAGCAAACATTTAGCCTTCATTCACTTCAGACACTATTAGGTTCTACTCAAAACGTTCTGAATATTAACATAACTATTACATTACTAAGATGTTGCTGTCAAAATCTTATAAATGGAAAAATGGTCTAAATTTATTTGGGGAAAAATCTTATTTAAAGCTACTGTTCTTTTTGACTTCAGAGATATCATGTTTTGTTACAACAGTGATATGCTAATATATATAGCATACACTAACACAACACATGAATAGCCACTATTTTACACAGAGACTGCATAGTCCTTTAGACAGTTTTGTATTAAGACAGCACCAGGTTTCACGAAGCTTGGTGTTCCAGCCAGTTCAGGTTAAATTTCTCATGCAGAACATGAGAAATGCAGTATTTTATGTATTTTATTTTTTAAAAGGTATCACACCACCATTCTTTTTAGAATGAGAATGTATAACTATGTTGTCAAGAACACGTCTTAGGCTCCAGTTCTGGCAGGCTAAAACACTGCAGACCCAGGGAAGAGAGGGACAAGTTGACCTTGAAAGGTAAAGCAGACTGGTAAAAACTGGCTGAAACCAGTTTTTAGGAGTAAGTGCAACACACGATGGCCAAATTGATGGACAAAGAGATGCACCTATCAGAGAATAAGCTAATATAAAAATTTGAGAAGTAAGGCAGGGGGATATCAAATTACTCCACATAAATGGTATATAAACTGTTGTTTGGAACAGTTTGTGCAGTTGGGTCTCTCGAGACCCTGTGCCATCTGATGCTAAAATAAAGAAAAAGCCCTTTTCCCTCTTTCCACGAACTCAGCATTTGAAGACTCTTTCCTTTTTGACATCTTTTAAAAACTTAGAATAGTTATTAGTGAAAGAATTTATCCAGTATTAAAAGATTTCTTTTTATTCATAATATTATGATGGAGGCCTGGGGTTGAAGGGATAGCCCTTGGTCCTGACAGCCTTCATGAACTTGATGAGGGTAAACGCTAATCTCTGCAGCACTTTGGCACAAGTTCCAAACTTTGTGCAAACGTTCCACCACTCAGTGTAGCCTATACCTCTAAAAACAAGATGCAATGCAGACCATAATTACTTAGAACTGGAACTCTAGGCTATTACACTTAAAATCAAGTCAGCTGCATTACTAACTCCACACAGCTGTTACCATGATTTATCAGGGGGATCATGGATTTGAGGAGGAACCGAATCAGATGCATTTGGGTGCATATTTTCGAGATATGCCCTCAGGTTGCTACTGCTGAAATGGTAGTCTAACTGTAGCTTACATTCATCTTGAGGTTACACAATTTTGCCGTCTACTGACCTTTCAGCGCTGCTCACACAGCAGTATGTCTGTTTTTTGTTTTGTTTTTTTTTTTACAAATTATATAATCAAATTTAGAATATTAGTTGACAGCCCTATTTTGTGACACACCTCGCTCAAAGTTTAGTTAAGCACATGATAGTTTAGGCTAATGGATCAAATCAGATTTTAGTTTTTTTTATTCTGTACCAACATCCGATCCAGTGATTTTAGCCAGTATCAGACTGATACTGATACTAAGTATCGGATTGGTCCACCCCATTCTACATGTCATTATTTTAATTTTTCTATTCCATCATATCTATCATATGGTGGAATAGAAAAACGAAAATTTGAAAAGAAAAAAAAAACTAAAATCTGATTTGATCCATGTCGGACACATTGTGGGACACACTGACGGTGTCCAAGCACCACACACCAGCATGAAGCCTTATGAAGTGAAGGGGTCTCAAAAGAAGATGTGTTATATAATTGATTAATCTGGCTTTGTTACAGCGCCTGTTGGTTGAAAAAAAATAGTATGAGTAAAAGTGGGCTGAAAACGTATTATGACTTATGAACTTTTTTGATGAGTTTATGTCTTATTTCACTTCCTAAAATGTCTGGTGGGTCTCAAGAAGAGGGTCATGGTATGGAAAAAACTCTAAATGAATCTTTGTGCATGTTTTGTCACTCTGACACATTTGATGTGGCCTTATAAAAAGCTCTACTACTACTACTACTACTATTACTACTACCTTTGTGTGTGTCAAAGAAAGAAGTTTAAAAGATCTTTTAAGATTTTGTCCATCCTATTTCCCATTATACTGTTAAAAATGAAAAATGAAAAATGAAAAAAAAACCCTGAGAATTCATGGTTTAAACATGTTATACATGAAACAATCCATGTTTGCTAACTGAAAACTACTTTTCACATATTTTTAAGTTACTGGCTACTAAAGTCAGAGTAAATAACATCATGAAGACAGCAGGTAAGGAAAATGCTTTACTTGCTCAGTCTGGTTATTTTCTACTCTGCTCATCATCAGCTCTGTTTCTGTCAGGTTACAGCTGCTCTGCTCTCTCCTCCTCTCATACCATGAACTTTGTTCACGTTACAGCCAAACTGGAAACAAAGTACCTTTAACGGATTAATAAATAAAATGTGAACTTTCAACTTTCAATAACTGCTAAGTTATTAGTGACTGCCTTAATCAGCCGAGTCATCCTAGCAGAGACAACAGGAGCTGCATAGCTTCTTCATCTCCTCTCCAGTTTATTTATAAACTGAGTTAGCAGCAGTGTTGGGAGGGTTGCTTTAAAAATGTATTTTGGGACAGATGAAAAAGTGAAAATTGGCCGCTCCAGAATGAACAGGGAATTGGAGATTCCATCTTTTACAGAAAAGCCTGAAAGTAACAAAAAAACCAAGCATATTTTGTCAAACATCAAAAGTGAGAGATCAAAGTGAAGAGAAGGAAGGAAGTTGTCTGCCAATATATGCATAAGTGCATTTGGGAGCAGAGATGATGACTTGACAAGATGACTTATTATTTATAAAAAATGGGTAAAATACCAAAGCCAGATTAATCAATTATATAACACATCTTCTTTTTAGACCCCTCACTTCATAAGGCTTCATGCTGGTGTGTGGTGCTTGGACACCAGCAATGTGTCCCACAAGTTTATAAAAGCATTCCCTTCACACAAAAAACTGTGTAAGCCAAAAAAGTGGAAGCTGATTGTCTTGGTTACAAATAACTAATTTGCACTTTAACATTTGCATCCATAATATAAAACTACTGAAAAAAGAAATAACTTATGCAAAAAAAGTTTCGAAACTGTTAGTTAATGTTAGCTCACTTAAGCATTAAACCCAGGCCAGTTAACATCAGTAAAAGTTTGCTTTATAGTTAGGCAAACTGTATCATTTTATGCAGTACAAATGAGAACAAAGGAGCTTAGCTTACTTCCAAATCAATTTGCTGCTGGAGGATCTGGCATTATAGAATACCAGGGTAAAAGCCTGATTCAAACTTCTTCAGGAAAGCACTGCAGATCGTAGTTCTGCCAATAAAAAAGAAATATGTACTAAAATTTCTATAGATTGGCTGAATAAAAACATCAATCTGCTGCTGGGGAAAGGGGATTCTTCATAACTCTGGTGACAGGAGGACCACCCCTCTCTTCTTCACAAAAAATGAGAAACTCTTCATACCTACATGATTCATGTGACTACAGTTACCTTTTAACATTCTGATTATGTAACTCTGTTACATGTATTCCATGACTATCTAACCCTGGTTAGTACTCCATGTAAAACAATTGAAACAGCTCATGCATGTACACCAACAAAGACCCTCAGGACATTTTTGTCTGACAACAAACACAGCAAGATACTGACTTGCTGAATGTGCGCAGTACCCTTCCTCCAGTCACAAAATCTAAGGAACGGAGTCTGGTAACTGGAGGTTAAAGGGCAATTCTACCAATTCTTCTAAATGTCTGCTAAAATCTAGCTCGCAGGAAGTTATTATATGAAATTATTACGTATATGTTGCCAGGTGCATGTGACATTGTTTTACAATAGTTCTGAGAAGGTTTGCCATAAAATGTTTATTTTTGAAATTTTGAAATGAAGGAAAAAAAATTAATAAAATGGCTTTTTTTGCATTGTAGACATGACTACCACTGTAAAGAAATAAGAGTCTGTTAAGTTTTTCAACAGTGAACCATTTTACATCAAACCACTCTGAATGACTTTGTTTACAGTTCAACCATTGAACTATGCAACATTTAAAATCAGTGGAATTCTAGTCATGCAGAAACAGAGAGGAAATACTCTGCACCTGTCGATGAACTGGTCAAGCAGGACAATGTCTCCAGGCTGGATGTCCTCTCTCAGCGACCCACAGGCAGTGGTCACAATTACATGAGTACATCCCTGCTGCTTTAGTGCCCAGATATTAGCCCTGTAGTTCACATTAGATGGCATGATGGTGTGTTGTCTCCCATGCCTTACACACACACACACACACACACATACACACACACACACACACAAGTTAGAGCCACACCTACCACTGATCAACTAAGAACACTTTATACAAATTAAAATCAGAATCTGCATGAGGTTTATTCTCCGTTTTCATTAGCATGCAGTACAAATTTGTCTCTACACTCTACATTTACATACGTAAAGATAAGACTTGAAACAGAGCAACTGTATGGCAACAAACAAATAAAAAACTAGATAGATAAAAGTATCACGATCATTAGATCCTTGTGTGAAACTTTTGCCCTAAGAAACAACTTTGTATATCTTACATGACTCTACAAAGTCTTACATAAGTCTAGGTACATTAGACAATAAAATGACTTATGATACTTTGTAAATCTAATGTAAATCTAACTTTATCTTAGGTAATTTTGCCATAAAAGGCAGTGACACATCCTATGTGAACACATATGCCCCCCTCCCCCCTGAGTAACCCAAGTTACTGAAAACTAATAATTGCTGAACAGCCCCTTTGATTACTTACAAGTATATCACCCTGAAAAAGTATTCACCCCCTCTTGTTTTCATCTATTTTTGCATATTTGTCGCACTAAATGGCTTCACATGCTCAGATAAAATGAAAAATAAGATAAGGAGAACCCGAGGATATACAAAACCCAATATTTAAATGATCATTTCAATTACTGAAGGAAAAAAGTGAAAAAGTAATTGCCCCCCCTAAACTTAATGCTTGGTTGTGCCACCTTTAACAGCAACAACTGCAACCAAATGCTTCCTTCAGATGGAGATCATCGTTGTGCCCATTTAAGATCCTGACACAGCATTATCAAGGAGGTTCGAGTCAGGACTTTGACTAAGCCACTCAAAACCTTAATACTGTGTCTTTTGAGCCCTGCTCTAAAGCGGCCTGTAGTTTCTTAGATGTTCGCCTGGGTTTTTTTTTGTGACTTCCTGTAAAAGTCGTCACAGCACTCTTGGAGGAATTTTAGTAGGCCAGACACTTCTGGAAACATTCATCACTGTTCCAAGATTTCTCCACTTCGAGATTAAGGCTTTCAATATGGTTGGCTGGAGTTCCATGGACTTAAAGCACGTATACACCTCCCTTGTTTGATGCAGACCCAATAACTTTGAGTTCGGTCCATTCTGACAGGTATGAACACTCCAACCATCCTTGAGTGTGCACTAAACTGTGTTTAAAGGTTCTTATAATACTTATTATTATGACTGAAAGGCATTCAGCCCCCAGGTGCTGCACCAACAACCAAAATCTTTAGTTTGTTACTTAAATTATTAGAGTGAGACTCTTTGTTTGGCTTTAGGTCCTGTTGTGCTGTTTGCTGTAAAGGAAAAATAAAAGACTAACTTTAAGCTTACGTCACATCACTGGAAAGCTTCTACTTCACTCATGTTTAAATCCAACAGGGCTGGCAAGGCTTTACTGAGTAAGTAACACAGGGCAAATTGGTTTTGGATTTTTTTTCCTTCCATAAATGAAATGATTATTTAAAAACTAAAAACTCTTGTGTTTACCCAGTTTGTCTTTGTCTCATTTGTTTCAGATCTTCAAACTAAATTTACTATAAGTGTGACAAAAACAGAAGAAATTAGGAGTGGGAAAATACTATTTTTCAGTACTGTACTTAACTGATTACTTATACAGACTTTCTTCAACAAAGTTCTGAGACTCCACAAGCTTTACAGAACAGTGGTTAAAGAAAATCTCATTTGACCTAATGAGAAACTGTAGCACAATATCACAATACCTACATTTACAGCATGTTACTAATTTCAAATGTAATTTATTTTGTATGTGTGTGAAAGTTTACACATAGCGGGATAGATTAGGTGTAATTTTTTGTTGTGTAATTGAGTTAACATTAGCATGGTGGCTAATTTGATGTTGTTTCCAAACTGCCTAGTTTCCATTAGCTACAAGAACACAGTCTGTCTCTCATCAACTGGGTAGTGGAGCAGTTTTAATCAAAAGAATTAACGTTATGTACCAATTCTACTATGTAGACTTGTTTTTTGACTAAAATCAAGTTGTGCTCTACAGTCTCTCGATGTGCTAAAAGTGAATTTACCAGTTTTCTGTAAAGCTTGTCCAACCTCATAAAAGTAGCTATGAAAAAACACATTTGTGGGTGGAGCATGAGTCATATCATTAAAGCATAAATATAATATACAACACAAAGTTCTTAGAACAAGAACCAGAAATATATCACTACAATTTATATCACTCAGTTAAAAACTGACTAATGAAAAGAAAATTCAGCAGTTACCTGGCAAGAAGCACACAATCGACATTTTTTATTTTTCCCATTATAAGAGCATCTGATGGCTGTTAAAGAGGATGAGAGTGTGTGTTAGATAATTTCTGTACAAATTATGCACTTGTGTTCCACTATTGTACTAACAGACAGAAAAACAAATAGGTCAGTATCTGATCTCAGTAAATATGAAGTAATCTAAAGAGGATTACTTCAGGATTATGCATAATCCTAAATCATGCGCTTACAAAACTATGCCAGGTTTGTTTAGTAAACAGGATTGAAAGGTCAAACTGACCTTTCCAAAGGGTGTGTCCACAAAGCACTCCGTCCTGCACTCTAGTATGTCTGGATCATCCAGCCCAGAGCCGCCAATGATGCCAATCTGAAAGAAAATAGGTGGTGTAGAGTGAACGTTATCATTTTAGCTTTTAGTTGTCACTAGTTCAGTCTAAAATAGTGGCGTAGAGCCAGATGTGATCTTGTAATGAGAATAAACATCTGGACACAACTCAATCATCGGTCATATCTTAGGGTGAATACAAAATTTAGGATCCCTTCAGAGTAGTCCTAGCAGGATAAGACTAGGAAAGATGTCGTATGTGTCAATGGTCAACACGTGCAAGCTGTAGCAGTCTCAAAGTTGCATCGGTCATGCTGTGGCAGTATGTGTCAGACAGGCCTCAGTGGTGTATTTGTACCCAGTTATTACCCACTATTTCAGCTCAGTTTAGCCATTTTGTAAGCAGTGAAAGTCAGTATTTAAGATGGAATTTAGAACCTAATGAAACAAACTTTAATAACTGATTAGAAATTCAGATGTTTATTCTCTTTCACAGAGGGGCATTATGATGGTATTTATTGTTATATATGCTATATTGATCATATAATGGATACAGTCAGAACCTAAAGAACACTGATCAACTACATGTTCTTATGTCAAGAGCATAATTATCCCTGTTTAACTGGATTTAGAGCAGCACAGTGAGTGAAACGTTGAAAGAAATTCTCATAGTTTTTGATATGAGAGTGGTTTGCAGAGTAACTACACTATCAGCCTCTGTGATGGCAAAGACGGATCAAAATAGAAAAGTCACTTGTAGGATTACAGCTGCAAAAAAAAAGTCTGTGAAGCATTTAGAATTCAGCTTTCTTATTTTTTACTCCAGTTCTCTTCAAGCACATTATAGCCCAAATGACAATACTGACAAGTTCAATATGGACATCAGAATAAATGTTTTGTAGCTCATGAGACTTCAAGAAGTTCCAAAAATATTTCTTAAGACTGCATCAGTCCAGTTAGGCAGATTTATCATAGCTGTTACTGTCATTAAGAGTGGATGACAGTGCAAGGGCTGCATACAATCCTTAAATACATGACAAAGAACCCATCAGGCACCTCTTGCACTTAATAATGTCAGTTTTTATGAGTCGGCCAACTGTCAATACACTGAATAAGTGTGGTGTTCATGAATACCACAGTGGAAATAACTGCTCTTCAGTTATAAATAAATAAATAAATAAATAAACAAACAAACCAACAAACAAACAAACAAACAAACAAACAAACAAACTGAAGAGCCACCCAGACGGCGCACAGGGCTACATGAACAGTTTTCTGGGTACTTTTAGGTAAATGTACACAGCAGTATATTTGGAGGAACCAAATCGCTGCCTACCAGCACCAAAATCCCTCAGCCTGTTCTAACAAGACAAATGATACATGGTGTCAAATAGATTTGTTTAGAAGAATAGACCAAATATCTCTAAAATACCCTTACATAGGGAAAAACATGATGAGCTGAAAAAATTAGATGAGAGCGGGGAGGACAGAAAGACTACTCTCGTCTCATACTGTGATTATGACAACAAAACCTTTTTGGCACTGTGTTGTTTTGCTATGGACCTTGGTATATTTTGTATTTCTAAGGAAACCTGATATGTTGATCTCCAACATGGATGTTATTAAATACCAATAGCAGATACCTTAAGAGATAAAATATAACATTACTCCACCAGGAATTGGTACCTTTAATATATGCTGTCTTTATTCCAGGCTTTTCATTCTATTTATCTTAGAATATACAATTCTATTTATTTTAAAACATTAGGTTATGAAAAGGTAAGTGCTTTGGAAAGTGAATGGAGTATATAGTAAACAGTTGCCCTGTAGTAAATGTAGTAAATGTTTCCCCTTGGTAGGTGAATGTAGTGTACCTTTAAAATTGCTTTAAAGTACACAACTGGACCTTGACAGTGTACAAGACGACAGATTCTGCTTTTTCCTGTGCTTAAAAAGCAACTAAAACTAGTATGTGTAGTTCAAGAACAAATCACACTTTAGAGGCAATTAAGTACACAAATCCAGGTCTTACCAAAAAGGTTTAAAGTTTTTTCTTGCAACTTTTTGCCCAACCGTAGGACATAGTAAACTGCTCCATCTGTTTTAAACGTCACATCTGCACATCTGTTTTTAAACGTCCTGTGTGACCTCTACATTTGCAGTAATTGATACAACAAAGCACAACCAGCAGGAAAAACATGCTAGTGAAACAACAAGTTTACAATAAATACAGCAAATACAGTAAATGTAGAAAGAGGTGGGAAGAGAAACATTTAGTTTAAAACACGTTTTAGTGCGGCAGAGAAAAATTACAGTTACAGTTAATGGCGGCTTAAAAAAAACCTGCCCACAATCAGTATAACGGCCATACACACTTAGCTAACCTACAGTTTGTAAACTGTGCACACTCACTCACACCGCAGCAGCGACGTACACAGCTACAAATATCGCGAAAACTGAACTAAAATTGAGTTAAAAAATACCTTTATTTTTGGTGTCGAGGCCATATCTGTACAAACTGCAGAAATTCTGAAAATAAAGTGATTTCCTGCTGCCCCTGTGCACATGCGCAGACGTCACATACCCCGCCTGTGTTTCTTCTATGGTGCTGAACTTTGCCGCCCCCCCGCAGTCACTCTGCGCACAGCTCTCCGTTTACTCTCATTCATCAGTTCCTCATTATTATTCAGCACAAACAAGGAGAAGACATACACTACCTATGTATGTATCAAGACAGCCCGTCTAATTTCAGGTACCCCACTGCTGACACTGCGCACACAAAGCTTGTAAAATCTCCACAGAAAAGCATTGCCAAAAGAATGGGGACGCTTCTCGTGGCAGAGCGCAATCTAATCCTTACAGCAATCTTCCAACGCAGTGTAAAATCTTCCCAGAAGAGAAAGCGGGACAGACTCCCTGTTAATACCTTTGATTTCAGAATAAATGCTGGATCATCAGGTGTCTACAAACTCTTAGAGTTCTCAGATGTGGAATAACGTAATAGGGTATATTTCAAACTGTGCTTATTACACATTTTTTTAAATGCTTATCTCCTTTGTAATAATGATAGATAGATAGATAGATAGATAGATAGATAGATAGATAGATAGATAGATCACTAGAATTGAACTAAATAAGAACATGAGTAAATTAGCTACTTTTTTACTGTTAAATACGTTTTGTTTATATCAGAAGTTGGAGTATAACCATGTTAACCTACACTTCATTAGTTTCTCAGATTTGAAAAGTGGGCACAGCCTTCATTTTTGTGTAGGGAGAATTACACAATTCGATTTTTCAAAACTGGTTGAACTGCGAAGAATTTATTCAGAGTGGTTTTATGTGAAATGGTTCATTGTAGAGAAATTTACCAATTCGGATTTCTTTACTACAGTGGTAATAGGGTCCAAGGGTCATAATGTCTATGAGAAAACTTAGCCGTTTTATTAACTATCAAGAACCACCAGAGAACCTACACGTTTTTCTAATATAACTTTTTATGTAATGTTGTGAAACAGGAAAAAAAGCTTTAGGGCAAAACCTCAAAACTATTGTAAAACAACGTCTCATGCATCAGGCAGCATGTTTGTAATCATTTCATGTAATAACTTTCTGTAAGGTTGCTTTAGAGGCATTAAACTCCTTAGTAGTCTGGTTCCTATCTGTACTGCTGTGAAAAAATCTGATTCAGCAAGTTTCCCTAGAGCAAAGCATTTCACAACAAACCTCTCTAAACGAATGTTTATATCTTAACCATTTAACATGCAGAGATAAAAAAAAAACAGTGGAATTCCCCTTTATGAGTGCTACAGAAAAATGTGCAAACTACGATTGGTCATAACTTATCATTAATCACCAGCTGTTGCCTTAGTTTATGATGGTTCTTCAAGGGTTCTATAGTAAAGAAAATTGTTCTATATAAATGTATATATTACATGATTAGAAGGTTTTTTGTGTCGTGAAAGGGTTTTTCAGATTGATGGAACATGTGCTGTAGATAGTTACATAGAAGCTTTTTAAAAAAGGGTTCTTCTGTTGTTACGATGTCAAGCTTTTTGGTGCTATATAGAACCATTTTCATATATATATATATATATATATATATATATATATATACTTATCCAATGAGGAACCATTTTTTTTTAAGTGGAGAGATCAGCTGTGCCTGTGGGTTTGAGTAATAGAAGATAAAACACCACATTGGGACTTTTAAGAACATTTTATATTAAATAAGCAAGCTTTTGGCCTCACATGATGCATTTTATTGCATACTAAACGCATTTCAGACACCATGTTCAGCCTTATGTTAGATTTTTCCCTTATAAATTACACTAAAAATATGTACAGTCTGGTGAGGACTATGGCTTCCAGACTTCAGGCACTCATTGACTGCAAAAGATTTTGAAATAAGATTTAAAATGACAATTTCATTTATGATTATTAGTTTGTTCCATTATTTTTGAATCCCTAAGAATGGAAGGCTAAATGCACATTCACCCAATTTGGATGTAATTATTTAGTCTGCATTTTGGAGTTCATATTCATGATTTAATTCCAACTCCAATAAACAGAGAATATAACAGTAACTCTGTCAGTGTCCAAATATTTATGGACCTGGTTGTATATCTACTGTTTACACTGTAAACCGGCAGCATCCTCCTAAAAATGTTTTACAAACTGATCTCAGTCAACATACCAGTGACATTTAGTTCCAACACTACAGCCAAGAGAAACTTCAGCCATGGTCTTTATCCCTGAGAATGGTTCATCCAGCTTTACAGAAGTGAAGTGTGAAACACATATGATGTTACCAAGATCACATAATTAACATTAAAATCTAATTAAAGAAATCCATCATGTTTTAAAGGATTTTTGTTTAAACATTATGAAAATAAACTTTTTGGCAATAACAGAATCATATCCATTCCTCATGCATTATAATGCACATTAAGATTGCACATATTGATATGCAGGCCAGTGTCAGTTTGACTGCTCTGATGAAAATAACTCCAGCACGTTTGTCTATGATCGGTGCTGGGATGACGATGGGTCATTAGCAAAACTGTGTCCAGCAAATGCTGATGTGTTTTGCTCTATGGGCTGTAGCACTGTCCCTGATGGCTAGGACTGGGCAATGCTGGTGGTCAGTTGTGATGGACCTGCAGGGCGAGTGTTTGCTCTGGACAGTTGGGACAGATCTGCAGGGCTGTTTGGGGTTGTGCTAGTGGCGTTAGCATCAGTAGCATTGTTGCTCATGTGGAGATAGGGAGCCGTTTTGTTTTCACCTGAATCTCTTTCACTGTGGAAGATGTTTGGGGTTGTGCTAGTGGAATCCGCATCATTAACATTGCTGCCTGTAGGGAGATTCATAAGTGTATTGTTTCTGTTCTCATCAAAATCACTCTCACTGTTGATGGTGATTACAGTCAGTGACTTCTTTTCCTGCTTCTCTTTACTCCTCTTCCTCTTGCTCTTCTTCTTGTGTTTCTTCTTCTTTTTGTGGTGTTTTTTCCTGAGCTGTTTTCCAGACTCGTCCTCATAAATGATCTCTACACTGGTGCTCCTGCTGCTCCTTCTCTTTTTCTCACATTTCTCTCTACTTTTCTTCTCCTGTGCTGGAGCTTCAGTGGCCCCAGCTGTAGAAGGTTCTAGATGAAGTGATTTGTATTTACGCTTTCCACTGGGTTTATCGTGCCTTGACTTCCTGTAGGTGGCAGAAGGAGAGGAGTTTCTAGAGTTTTTAGAGTGCCTCCTGTCCAGACTACGGCTCCGGCTTCTACTGCGCGAGCGGTAATTACCCCGCGAGAGTGAACGAGAACGATCTCGCGACCGTGCACGAGAACGATCTCGCGACCGTGCACGAGAACGAGTGTATTTTTCTGGATTGATGTCCATGCTACTGTAGTGTGCATAAGTGTAATATCTACTGCTGGTGCCCCTTTCAGAGCTGTGGTGTGTGTGTAAGCGATGGTAAAATGAGACGTCTTTGGTTTGTCTCCTGTGGCCATGTGAGGAACCATCTCTGGATCTGGATCTGGATTTGGATTTATCTTTCCATTTCCTCTTTGAGTGGTGTCTTCTGTCATGGACATCTTTCTTATGTCGATGATTTTTAGAAGATCGTCTTGGAGATGGTGGACGGTGGTCATCTGATGGGGACGGCCTGTTTCTACTGGAACTTATATGTCTGTAAGTGCACTTTTCTCTGACTGCTGATTGGCTGGAGCTGGGTGAGGTTGGCGAGTCTGGTGGTGAGGTGAAACGAATGTGCTGAGGTTGAAATCTGTGATTATTTTCTTTTTCTTCTTCTTCAGAATCAGATGAAAGCTGAACCAGCTCAGGCGTCCTTTCTGCTGTTGGTTTAACGTAGCCCACGATAACACAGTCTTCCTCACTGCTACTGCTGTGTTTTTCTTCATCTGCCCTGGCTCCAGCTGGAGCTGTAGGAGCTGTAGAAGGTCCTGCTTCTTCTTCACTGTCCGAGTCACTGGAAGTCACAGAAACAGTGAAAACCCGAGGCAGATCTGTAGAATAGGACGGACCCGGAGTTTCATCGTCCCACGGTGTCTGGCTTAGCATAGCTGAGCTAGCCTGGGCTCCTGTTCCAGGCAAATTTGTCTCATCCTCAGAGACGGTGATGACGGATGAGTCTGAGCCACTGTTCTCCTCAGCAGAAGGAGCCAAGCATTCGTATTCTGCGTTCTGGTCGTATGCCTCCATGTTGAAAGGTGACTGTGCAAAGCTCTGGAACTCATGTAGGAAGTGCTCAGTGCGAGAAAGCAAGAAGGGGCGGAGCTCCTGCAGCACAGCTGGGTCCTGCAAGTTGTAGCGTGTGATCTGGGACATGACGATGTGCTGGACGATGTTGACCAGCGAGCCATGAGTTCCATACAGCACTGTTAGCTCCCGCTTCAGCCACGGCACCAGCCGGTGGAGGCATGCGGGGTTCCCTCTAAAGAATTCGGCCGATATTTCTCTGGACCGGCCACTGTCCCGCACACCCCGAACCCACAGGCCCCGCCGGTACAGTGTCCGGCGGAAACGGATCATCTCTTGCTCCTGGAGAGTCTGCAGCGTTCGGCCCTCGCCCTGTGCCTGCCGCCGTGCCGCCAGCCTTGCCAGCATCCGGCGGAAACCGCGGTCATTCCCATGGGAAACAGAACCTAACAGAAAGGGCAGATTAATACAAAAATCAATAACAATAATAAATACATAAATGGCAGTAAACTAACAATACTAATAACAATAATTACAAGTAGACATGATATAGCTATGAAGATTACATCAGCTGTGTTAAACAGCTAAAATAACTATAACTTTGCAATAAAACAACTTCTGATGCAGTTCCAAAAATGTTAAGAGATAAAGATGTGAAAATGTCAAAAAGGAATAACAATCATGGAGGGCATTCCAAAGGTCAAAACACTGAAGAACTGCCCCACAGATGCTAGCCTGGCTATCCGTTCATTTAGAGATACTATTAAATTTGTCAGAATTCCTAACGATAGTCTGTTTTATTTGCGACCAGTGATCTTTCCAACCCTACCTGATAGACCCTCAAACATCACCCCATGGTCTGGAGGAGGGGACGTTCGTCTCTCATGCCGGCGGTCTCCAGTCAGTGTGGTTCTGTACCTGAACCTCTGACCGGCCAGGCTGCCGAAAGAGCCGTTCTCACTAGGCCGCAGGTCATACTGCTTAAAATCATCTTCAGCCTTTATGGAGTGATAAATGGAGCTGAACGGCTGCTTGCACAATGGACACTCTGCTTTGTTCTTGGACCACTCGTGGATGCAACGGAAACAGAACCGATGTAAGCATTTGTCTACGTAGGAGATGTTTTTGAATTGATCCAGGCAGATGGGGCATTTTGAGTCTGGAGATGTTTCCTTGGAGATGGTCTTTGATACAGAAGTGGGTGAACTCTTCTTTAGGACACTAAGTTTCATCTTTGTTGAGGCCATGATGCCATAATCTGGGGGAAAAAAAGTTAGCTATAGGTAAGTATGGCACGACCAGCCATTTTAATGTGCAGGGCTGAACTGTGCCTCTTTAAAGGTCAATATTCCACATTTCGTGTATTTTTCCACTGAGGTACACTTATGACTTTTGCATGAGATCAGGTACTAAAAACTGTTGCAATTCATTTTTACATTACATTTCTTTAACTCTTAGAATTAAACAGATTGTTTTGTTCCGTTCTTATGGCTGCTCTGTATTGTGACTGAACCATTGGGGTATTACAATTATTTTCGAAATATGGATTTTTCGGTTTATCCGGATAACTTAAGCCCAAAGTGAAGACTGTCCAATACAAATGTCCTTTAAGTTACCTCTCACATTGGACTGAGCTTGACTTCTGACTTCAACCATCTGGCTAACCGATATTATCCTCAGTTAGCACGAAGCTGAAATCGGCTCCTTACTCGAATTTTCCGTTCCACCTTAAAGGGTAAGCGGCATAATGTAACTGCTGTACCATGTAAGGTGGAACGGAAAATTCGAATAGGACGCTTCAGAACTTCAGCTTCGTTCCCAAGGTAGCAAAAACAGACAACGAAATGTAGAACAATAACAGATCTGAGGATTTTTAACTTAAAATACCTTCAGAAAGCGAGTTAATAATACTGAACTTACTGGATCCGCTTCAGTAGTTTCAGTAAAACCTCAGTTGGCTAACTAGCTAACGTCACAATCATTCAGCCCACAAAGCACACACAGCTTATAGTGTGGACGAAGTTACATCAAGCTAAATATTACCTAAAGCACATATTTCAATTATTATAAAAAAAAATGCGCAGATTTATTTAGCGAAACCGAACTAGAATAATAACATTTATAATTGATTTTATAACCGCTATTTAGTAATAACAAACGCCCGAAGAAGACCGAGGAATTTTAGAGCTTCCGGTCGCGGCAATATCAAAATAAAAGTCTTGATGCGTGTAAAAGGCCCTGTGGAAAAAAAAGTCTCTGATATTCTTAGGTGTAGTGCTGAAACATTACATACGTATGCATACATTTCCTCGACCTTCTCTTTTCTGTCTAAAGAAAATATTTAATGATTTAATTATTTTAATATCAATTAGCAAATAGAAAACCGAAACTGTTCTTAACTCACACATCTTGATATAATTTCATCAAAAGATTTCATTTCAAACTGCCAGCTGAGTATGGAATGCATTTACAGAAGTATAGGATATAATTACAGACCTATAAATAGATATATGATGATAAATATTTCCTAACACAGACCTTCAAATTGTGTCATTAATGATTGTAGTAACACATCACTTAGTTCAAAGAAAGCTGAACCGCTGCCAGTAGAAAAAGGCTAAATCTTTATGAATCTTTAACATTGCGCTCCCTGATTGTCTCTACTGAATGTTGCTACTCAAAATAATAAGAAACCATGATTTTTCTGTGTCAATTTAAAAAATAGAAGTCTAGCTTATTGCACACATAAGCGTTATATTTTTAATGACCTCCGCCGGCTTTGTCACATCGCGTCGCTGCCGGTGTGAATGCAGGGAAACTACTATACACTCATCCGTTAGAGAAATCAGAGATCGGTGTATGTAAACAGCAGTGAAGATAAGGAAGCCTAATATTACAACTTTTCTGAACGCATTTGATATGAAGTTTAGATTGCAAGGAAAAGATTCTAAGCAGAGAGCCAGGTAAAATAATCTGATTTAATTTAGAAAGATAGAGGGTGATAACATTGGCCTTATTAGGTACACAAAGTAAGACTCGGTGTACTCAAAACACCTCTGATCAACATCCTCTATTACAATGGCTCCCAAGCTGTGGTGCCCATACCCCCACAAATAATGACGTTGGTGTTCATTTCATTTCAGTCCATTTGTCGGCCGCACAGTTACCTCCCTGATACAAATGACACGCACAACTATGTCACCCTTGCATTGCACTCACCAACTCCAGAGCAAGAGATCCTCAGTGAAATCACTATGATCTTTAATTACCGAGTTAATCAAAAGCCAGTGTCAGTTTTCTGGATAGCACTGCATGCAGAGTGTCCTATACTAGCAAATCATGCTGTTAAGATATTAATGGCCTTTGCAATTACTTATTGATACAATGATGATTCTACTTTTACACATGCACACATACATTAATGATGAGAGAGTATGACAGAAGCAGCTGGCGGTCAGGTCTGGCTATAAAGCAGAGGTAAAGGCGGAGGAAAATATTCTGAATGAATTATGCTTATTAAAAACGTTGAGATTTTTTCCATTTTATTTTTATAAGCAACACTTAATTGCTTAAATGGCTGAACCATTCTTGGAGTACAATATTTATAGCATCCAACACATGGCAAATTATTTTATAGTTATTATAAGTATTTAATAGTTGAGTATTTGGCTAGCTATAGGTATTCTGAATTGCCACTTTTGCTTTGAACATTAGATATTAGCAACCTAAATGAGGTCTAAACAACAGAACAGAATGCATTTTTTAATTTTTTTTTTTATTGGCATTCAGTATTCATATGTATTTACACACACACACAGATACATTTGACAGGGCAGAGACTTGTGAAGGTTTATGCTGGTGTTGATGATGGTCATTAATGGTGACCGTGGCCTCCTGCTTCAGGAAGATCAGGAATAACCTCGCCCGTTTCCAAAACGGTGTCACCCTGTACGTCAGAGAGGGCACATTAGACTAATTTGATAAAACAACAGTTACCATCAGCAGCAGCAGTCAGGATGTGTTTAGATTGAGTCTGCTGATCTGCTGACAGTTTTCATAAACATTTAGCATAAGGGCGCCAAAGTGAAGCATGAAATTAATGGTTAATATTATTTGTCGCTGCACAGAAACATGATAAAAAATCAGAAGACGTTTTAAGTGGTGGGGCAAAAGTCCTTATGTTTTAATGGAAGATTACAGGACAAAAAGAATTGTTTTTTAAATTAGATAATCCGTGAACCGAGCTAAATAAGACCAGGGACATGAACTAGCAAGGCAAAAAAGGTCAGTTTAGATTTTAGATTGACTTTAAAACATTAAAAGGAAAAGACAAAAAAAGTTATAAAAATACATTTTGTATACAACGATTTTTTAAAAATATATTCACTCTTATTGGGTGAAGATGGCATTCTGGTAGGCCAAATTAAACATACAGGCCAACATTCTTTCACTTTGGGTAGCCCTGATGTAGAATAAAGAAGCTTTGTTGCACTTACGGGAAAGAGTCTGGGTTTCAGCTCGACGATTCCATACGGCATTTTCTGAGAACAGAATAAGGATTACTCAAATTATTTTGGTTCATATATACAGATCACAGCCATGGCAAATTAAGCTGCACACCAATCCTACTTCAGTGCCAGTTAAGTTTAGGTTTTTAGATCATGAACAGCTTCTGGATATAACAGAGCCGAGCTTCTGACCAATCAGGTCCAACCATCTGACCAAGCATTGCAGAACTTCTGACATATCAGTGACAGCCTTCTGACCATGTTGAGTTGGACTGATTATAATCAGAAGCCACACTACCAAATATACCAGTGCCATACATAAAAGTGGCCTGAATTTGTTGCTGTTGTTTTTTGTGCTGTTTACGCTGTCACACAAAACAACATAGCAATCACATATGAAGAAAAAAAATGGATTTGGCCACTTGCAGTGTGAATGTAGTCAAAATATGTTTAAATCATATATCACCATGATATGTCTCATGATATGGATTTTGCCCTAGCATGTATACCATGATGAGCCCAAAAACAATGAACTACAAACAGCTCCGTCACCAGGACGTTACACACCAACTTGACAAGTTAAGACAAGTTAAACATCAGCGTGAACAGTTTAAATCTTAGACAAAGAAAATCTCAGACAAAAGAAGTAGCTGCCATCCTGAGTGGCACTTGCATACCACATTCATCAGTGAAGCCTTTCACATAATTTGCACACAAAGAGGGTGTACTGCCGCTCGCCATGTGCATAAAGCATCCCAAAGACATTGTGTTTCTTACAGTGTCCACACAGATTATTACTTTGCAATAGTTTTCATGTTTATTCTTCAGAACAGTTCAACTGATGAACAAGATAAGGAAATAAGAATCAGCTCATAAATGATATTCAACAGGCTTAATGTGGTAAGCTTAATTTGGCAAGCTCAGAATCGCAAGCTGCAAAAAACTAAACACAAAATGGAACTGAGGATGAGTAATGAGTTAAAAACAAACAGGAAGAGAGTCGTAGAGGTGAACAACTAAAAACTGGATCAAAAAAGGAAACTGAAGAAGCTACTAGAGCATGTTAGCATTTATAAAATCAAAAAACTTTTTAGATGCATTGCTATTCTAATATTTGAATGGCTTATAAAAAATCATTATAACCAACATCACCACTGAGAACAGTGGCAAAAATAATAATAACAACAACAATAATAGCAATAACGGTAATAATTTTTATCATTACATTGTTTTGTTACTGTGATTGTTAGTATTGTAACTGAACTTTTTCGATATTGTAATATCATACGGTTCTTGCCCAAATACAAGAATATATTGTGATATAAATATAATAATATTGTGATATTAATTTGAGTTCTTATTGTCCACCCCTATTTCCACCCTGATGCAGGGAAATTGACCAGAAAAGCAATAAACTTACAGTGACATGGTACTTCATGTAGTAATGTACGATCCACGCTGGAATCAGGATCCGTGTTAAAGCGAAAGTTCCAGCCCTGTAGGCTCTGAACGTCTGGGGAAACAGAAATCAGCATCGTGGGTGTCAACAACTAAACACTTAACATATAACAAGGGAAAGGGTACTTTTCTGAATTTTTTCTGAATGGTTTTCTGAACTGTCACTGATTTACAGTAAATGCAGCTAACCAGTAATGGAAGTATGTGTCATGCAAAATCTGTCTTATATTATCCTCATAGCTCCAGTGCGGAAAAAAAAACCCTTTAAATGCTTACTGTGCTTACTATGGTGGTATCACTCCAAACTCAAAACGTTGCAATTGTTGCAATATTTCATTCAGAGTTTTAACACAAGGATACACAATTTTCTCCTTGTAATTTTAACAATATTTAATTTTAGGGAAGCCTCCACACAACCTATTTCCATTTTCACCTATAATTTCAAAAAATCTCCATAATTAAATGTTTAAGCTGTAAACAAAGACATTTAAATTAGTTTGATGTGAAATGATTTATTCTAAAAAAACTTACCAAGTCAGAATTATTCACAGTGGTTGTGATAATAACCAGACATTTGAAGCGTTTTAATGCCCCTAAAAGCTACATCAGATCAATCTTTTACATGAAGCAGTTACAAATATGTTGCCTGAAATTGTTTTATAATAGTTCTGAAACAATGTTTCAGCACAATACCTTTTTTTTTCTTCAGTTCATGGTTCAGGATATTGTAAGGCAAAGTAGTACCCAAACAGTACCAGACTTCCCACCATTTTATCAAAAACGTATTTCGTAAAAACGTTAAAAAAAAAACATTGTCAACATTACATACAAAACACAGGACACGTGAAGGTACAGATTGAATTATGCAGAAACTTTGAAAATTTGGTGGAAATCCTCTTTAATTCCCTTAAAAGGTACCTGATTCAGCTCATAAAGGGTTTGATATACCTGATAATCTGGATCAGGTGTTTTGGGTTGAAAAACAACTGAAAATGTGAGTGGGGGGGGGTCTGCAGGATCAAAGTGGAGCTGTTTAATTATATTGATGAAAAACTGGTGAACCTTAAGGTCCATGGTTGTATTTGAGTGTATGTGTGCACAGTGTGTTTGTGCGTATAGTGTATTACCCATCCTCTCTGCTGTACAGTACTCTGTGTTTGTGTGTGATGTATTACCCATCCTTTCTGCTGTACAGCAGTGTATGTACAGTGTGTTAGTGTATAGTGTTAGTGTGTGTAGTGCATTACCCTTCCTTTCTGCAGTACAGCAGCGTGTGTACTAGAGATGAAACGATATTAAAATTTCATATCACGATTATCATGACCAAAATTATCACGATTATCGATATTATCGCGATATTGTTCAAAAGCGTTGAAAAGTAAAATAAATAAATAAATAAATACATACTGATATACAAACTGAAACTCGTTTCACCAACTTTTATATTAACACAAATAGAATTGGCAGCAATATGCACTTTTTGTTTGCATAAACATTAAAACAATATCGTCAATACATTTGTAGTATTACTTTTGTATTACTTACAATACTCTGTAAACAAAAGAATAGCAAATGTATTATTACTGTTATTACTATTATTATTATTATTATTACTGTTGTAAATTATTATTATTATTATTATTATTACTGTTGTAATTATTATTATTACTATTATTATTATTAATTACAATAATTAGGGATTTCCTTGCATAAAGAAATAAATCTCGACCAACTCTGAGGCGGGTCTTACTGGAAAATTACTACTTCTAAGAAGTGTTGCGCTCGGGGGATTTCTGTCCTAACTGCAATTGCAGCATTATTGTGCCGTTGTGGCGCTGAACCCCTAATCAACACAGTGCACCAGGAAAACCAGCCAAAATCCCAGAGGAATTGCGTGACCGTTCTGTGAACTACAGACAGTGTAGAACTCACACAGTGTGTCTTCACCTGTGGAGCTGCTTCTCTAAAAGCATTTTAAAACTAAAACATAACTTAAAATTAACGCGCATCTGAGCTGTGGCAGAAACACTCCTAAAGTTTAATTTCTGAAACTGCTTTTCCTAAAAGCAGCACACAGCGTTTACTCGCGCAAGGTCCAGTCTCAAAGCACACTATCTTCCCTATGTAGTGCACTTCGTGGGTCATGAAATAGCGAATCCTTCACCCAAAGAGTACATGAAATGTTCGACTAAGTCATCTATAATCAACATTAACAATAGGTTACAAATTCCCTATTTAAAACTCAACTGCTTGTTAATGATGATCGTGTTTGTTTGAACAGTAGCGCACTATGTAGGGGACATTGAGTGATTTGAGACGGTGTTACTCTCTTCTCAGACAGTAAACACTGCAAGCGAGACGAGAAAGGGGAGCTGTGCAGATTGAACTTTTGCAGCGTCTCGTTCCAGAGCTTGTGTAACTTAACTCAGAGCTCATTTTGGAGGCTCTGCTCCACAGAAATATGTGTTAAAAGCTTTAGTTTCGATTCACAGTTGATTCACCGATTGTTATTATTTTTATTTTTTTTGACGCCAAAAGCTTCATTTTATATTATTAACGAACCATAAGCATAAGTTAAACCACACAAACCATGACATTTCTTCTATTTCGAAGTCCCCACGGACTTCTACGTTAAGGTTAACCTTGCATTCTCTAAAAAGTAGCGGGTGGTGGTCGCGAAGATGACTCGTAAGGTTTGATGTGTTGCCCCCTTTCGCCGCTATTTTCTTTCGGTCTGTTCTGCAGACAGGGTGGTCATCTTCAATTAACTTTCCTTCTGCATTCTTATAAAACCCAAAATATGACCAAACGTCAGACTTGGTCTTCTTAGAAGGCTGAAATATCTCCGAATCTCTGTCACTACATTCCGCCATGTTCTCCCTTCTCTCCCTCTCCCTCTCCCGCACGGCAGTGTGTGTACAGTGTGTTAGTGTATAGTGTTAGTGTGTGTAGTATATTACCCATCCTTTCTGCTGTACGGCAGTGTGTGTTGCTCCGTTAGTAACAGGCTCTCTCGGGCTCAGCTCCTGATCCTTCAGCCAGCGTCTCCGGAGGTTCCACAACTGCTGCGCGCGCAGCCGCTCATCTGCGCTGTAGCCCGACATCCCGCGCTCTAACGTAAACACAAAAAATACTAGATAATACACAAATAATCTAAACGAATAAGAAACTACAACTCAGTATTAACTCACTCCAATGACAGCAGAGAGGACAACCTTCCCACAGTGCACTGCACCAAGAAACAACCGGATGTACTTCACATAAAGCTCACAAGTTGCCACAGCGCCGCCTGTTGGTGGAGCATTGTGCAGTCATTATTATTATTATTATTATTATTATTATTATTATTATTATTCACAATATCCTATATATTTCTATTATTAATAAACATTAATTAATGTTCAAAATATTTTAAACTCTAAAATGTAAAGTCTGGAAAAATGAATTACATTTAATTTTAGACGTAGAAAAATGTATCAAATGTGCATTTAAACACTAGTACGATTTTCATCATATTTAAATTTGTAGAGTTGCAGTTATAGCCCTGCAGTCAGACCCTAGTCGTTGTACCAGATCTTGAACTGTTGTCTGTGACAGCGGGGCGGATTCGCCGCTGGAGGGTGCTCTCTAATAAGCCATCTTGGTCAAATGCGCTCTGCAGACCAGTTCAGCTTTACTGCTGAATTTCACCAGTTAGTCATTTTATCCACAGACAGTCAGACCGACAGACGTTAGAAAGGGTATAGAGCTAAAATATATATTAGATTTCAGTCATTTTGGCGCTGGCAGGCTCCGCTAGTGTAGCATTGTAGATTGTAGAATTTAGCGGCCTGCGATGTCAGATTTACTAATCTAGACATTTATTTTATTTTATTCTAGGTGTAACGTTAAACACTGCGATACCGCTTTTGAAATAGTGTGACGTTATGATGTAAGCAACATCTGTTTCTGTTTTCCGCTGCTGTTAACCTTTTTCTTAAAAATGCTACTCATGGTGAGTTCGCTCAGTGACTTCAGCTAACGTTCATGTCTGCCTTTTCATCAGTAACGTTAGCATGATAGCCTCAGTAAGCTAACCCAGCCCTGCTAATTCTACCTAATGTTTATTATTAACCCAACTCTGCTAATTGCTGCCTAATGTTTATTAATTATACATCATCTTAACTGCTTTTGGTATTTAGATTATTAATTGTGTTTATGTTGTACGCTGTATGGAAACTTAGCAGAAAAATTATTCACTTTTAGAAGCTGCGTTAAGGCTGTAAGTGATCTGACTAACGTTAGGTAACCGAGTTCACTGATAGGGTTAGCATTTACAGGGTTACAGGGGGAGAGATCATCTTAGGATCACACTGTAGGTCAGAGTGTTTGCGATAAATAAAATGATATTCATCTGTCCCCAGGATTGACTGCAGAGGCAGAAACTGGCCTGAGATGGATGAAATCTTGTCCTGACACAGAAATCGACAAACCTCCTTTTTCCCAAAGCTGGAAAAATGAAGTATTTTTTCAGCGAGACTAATATTAAGAGCTCCTGGGACCAAGTTTTTTCTGCATTTTGGCAGAGATACCCCAATCCCTTTAGGTATTTAGCTACTTCACCATCATTTTTAAACCTTTCAGGAGAGACTAAGAGACTAAACTGAGTAAGACTAAACTCAGGCTTGTATGGAGCTGGGCTTTGGTATTAGATATGTAACCTAGGTAGGTGCGTAAGTAGGTAGATAGATAGACAGGTAGTTATACAGATAGACACGTGCATAAATATTTGGGTAAATAAGTTGTATAGGTACACAGTGCCATGTAGAATGAAGGCAATTGACAGTTGTTTTTAGGGAGCATTGACCGCAGGTATCAGATAGATAGATGGACAGCTAGACGGACAGATAATCAGAAAGACAGATTGCACAAACATGCAACAAAAAACAGCAATAGTAATTTTAATTTTTATTTTCTGTGAAGTGGAAAAGTTTTATCCTGAAAAAGAAATGATCGTGGCAAATAATTGTGTAGAAAGTACTTTTCCTTCTGCCTTCTCAATTGTTTTCAGCACCCATGTTCTGACGGAGGACGTAGTGTATCGGAGTGTGACTGCAGACCACCGGCTCATCACCCGGCGCCTCCTGACCAAAACTAACCGTCTCCCACGCTGGGCTGAAAGGTTCTTCCCCACCAACCTGTCCCGCAGCGTTTATATTCTAGAAGATTCAGTGGTGGACCCTGTCAGCAAGAGCCTCAGCACATACACCTGGAACCTTAATCACACTACACTTATGGTGAGAGTACACAAATACACACACACATACGTTTGTGGCAGATGCAGCCAAGACATATTTGGTGTCTAGGGCGGAAACAGTTATTCAATGTTATCAACAATAAAATGTTGACAGATATTTCCGTTGTCCATTCTACATTTGCATTTACATAGTCAAAGTGACATCCAACCTAAGAATTAACTAGTTAACCTGAAGAGGGCAGCAGTTCACTAATATTCACCACTTTCGGTGACTCTAAGTTTGTAAAACTTTGCCAAACATTATATTGATACCTTTAATGGGCAGGTTTAAGCAAGTTAATTGATTGTTAGCCAATTAATTCATATGAATAATCAAATGTCAAAATATTTGTTTTTTTTGCAGCTGTATTGGTAGGTGAAATTTGCTTTCTTAGTTTTGGTACTGACACTACAAGTAAGGCCAGATTAACCATACAGACAAACAAATAGGCTAAGTTAGGATCTGTAACCTGCAAAATTTTTGGCAATCACTTCACCTGTATTCTCTTTCTCTCATGAGATGAAGGGGTGGAGTAACAAAAACTTGGTTGATGGAGTTGTGAGCTGACATTGAGTTTGGTTGTTGTTCAGAATAACCACATTTTGGAAGGTGACCAAATCTTACCTTGATTATTGCTATTCTGGTTGCGGGGTTTGAAGCGATGTAGTGATGCACATGTCTGTAATAGGTCTGAGTTACTCTTGAAATCTCCACAGACGGCAGCTCTCCCCAAGAGAGAGAGCACCCAAGAGCGATGAAACTTGTGGAAATTGATTGGACCCACAAGCTGTACAACCAGGGTGACACTGAGTTGATTCTTGCTCGAAACAGATTATATAGAACAGCCATATTAAACACAATTATCATTCATGCTGACCAAGAGGGCTCTTGTACAGTCTGAGGGTAAAAGGGCATGGGCTCAAGTACCCTGGGGTATATTTCTTCATGTGCTGGATTGTCAGTGTAGTGCATTAGGTGAAAGCGCTGGGTCAGTAACACTCATGGCCCTCTGTGGTCTTTTCATGTTTGTGTGTGTGTGTATGTACGTATGCATGTATGTAGACGGTTACAGAGCGATGTGTATTTAGAGAATCTGCGGGTCATCCGTCATGGACACAGCTTAAGCGTGAGGCCTGGGTCTCCTCAAGTATGTTTGGCTTCTCTAGAGCCATACAGGTAACCACACACACACACATAACCTACATAGCCATGTGCTACACGTAGTGTTCAGGAACAGCAGCAACAATAGTGGTGTTTCAGGTTCTGATTTATCTTTTACTGCGTTTGGTTTGAAGAATCACAGCGAATAGCTAGTGTTTTTTTTTTGTGGTGGTGATGATTCTGTAAGAACTACATTCGACCAATTAATGTTCTACAGTATTTATAGTTCCACCTAATATGTTTTGCCTCAGTACACTTGGTGCCCCAGCAAGAAGGCTAACCAAGTTTAGCATGGGTACTCAGGAACATTAAGGACCATACTGTACTGTACCACACAGTCTTATGAAATAACTGATTTTGTTTTAAAATTTTTTAATCATATTCATACATGTAGATACAGAACACTGGTATTGCTATTATATAGATACATTTTCATACAGAATATAATATATACTATATATACTATTATGTTGTTCCATGTTTATAAAAAAAAAGGAAATATGACATCTCTCCAAACTTGATGAAAATGGCCAGTTGTATTGCAGCAAAAGCAGTAACGAATCATGTGAAAAGCACTGCAGATTCAGACTGAATATCGCACCTCCAAATATATACAATATATACCCTTCAAAGTAACAGTTTGTCACAAAGGAAGCTATGTTGTGATGTAAATGAATTCAGGAAGCTACCCTCCTACTGTGAGTGTATGATAATTAAATCCATTGAATGCTGTGATTAAGCTACAGAAATACTGTAATTTCTTACAAGCCAATATTGTAATGCTATTGCAACATTACTGGTGGGGGGGATCCAAAAATCACTAAATAATAGCATGAGTTCTTTTTTGCAAAGCAGTTGTTACTTCAGTCTTCAGTTCCCCAAGGTTATGAGGGTCCCTCTGATGGAAATCCTTAAATTTTCTGTGGAATTCAAGTCAAGAGATTGACTAGGCCATACAAGCATTATTTTGGCTGTGTGTTTAGGGCCGTTGTCTTGTTGAAACATCCATTTTCTCCCTAGGTACAGTTAAGATTAAATTCTCCTCTAATATGTCCTTGTACATGTAGGCATTGGTGATATGGCAAAAAATAATTCAATCACAAGACAATCTCACAGTACACGATATGTATCATGCAAAACGCAAAGTATAGTGGCACATATAAAAAGGCTATAATAATAATAAAAATAATAAAAAATGTGCAGCTACAATTATTTTTATTTGTTTTTTTATTTTATGCTTTACAAACTGCACTGCACTGCACTAAATCCAACTGAAGAACCAACACAAGTTTAGATGATAATGAGTCAAGAGTCAAGAGGCTTTTATTGTCAATCCATCTATGTACAAGTACACAGTGGAGTGAAATTACGTTCCTCCAGGAACAAGATGCAACATGGAACGAAAGAGTACAAAGTGCAAACGTGCAGACATAAGTGTGCAAACAAAAAATTACACCGACACAGCACTCATTCTGGACATGAGGTAGTGGAATAAGGTGCAAAGATTATTTAACATGCTGTGATATGTAGGTATATGCAGTGAGATAACATACGTGAGCACAGCAGTTACTGAGGTAGTACTTGAGTAAACACAGTTTAAACACAGTGTTAGCAGCAATGTTCCAGATAGTGCAAGTAGAGCATCAAACGAAGTGTGTGTGTGCGTGAGTGTAGAGTATGTGTGTGAGGGGGTATTCAAATGATTAGTTATCACTATGTTATCTTAGAGAGCAAGCTATAAACCCAGACAGTGCCACACACAGTGACTGGTGTCAGGGCAGGTTTAGTGGCTTGGTTCCAACTAACTGATGCTAAAATGACACCCGCTTAGAGGATTTCTGAGAGAGTAAGGTTGAGTCAGCGCCACACAAACACCAATCAGTGCGCCCATCTAAAATATAAATGGGTGGAATGTGTTCAGATGTGGGGATTAGAAATTTGACGTCATGATGTTGAAATGGCATGATCATTTTCAAATGTCATAGTATAATTTATTAGTGTTATACTTCCCAACCCTACTAACCAGTCACAATATTTTTACTATGTGCTGTGAGCATCCTGACTAATCATAGTTCCAGATACGTTTCTGTAGGTGTTTGATTGAATCATCGCATTCACGTAATCCAACATAACGCAGTCGTTAATTACATTACATTATTGATTCGCCAGATACAATTATAGCAGTGTGTGTGTGTCTGCTCTTTATGAATGAATCACTGCTGATTCTGTATCTCATATGTTCCTTTACCTGGTGTGTGTGTGTGTGTGTGTGTGTGTGTGTGTGTGTGTTACAGGAGTTCGGACTGGCTCGCTTTAAGAGTAACCAAATGAAGGCCATGAAGGGGCTGGAATACGCACTGGCTAAATTACACGGTATGCTTAAGTGGGAGGAAAAGAGCAACATGTGTGTTTTAGCGCACTATTATTATTGTTTTTTGGGAAGTGGCATCACACCAGGTTCTTGTTTGGTTGGTTTTTTAAAGTATTATTACTATAGCTGACCTATACTGGATTGACTGTATGTGCTGTATTGCTTATGACCAAAGTTCAGAATGTAAACTGAATGTAGATCAGGAGGCTGGCTTTCGGTTCTTCATAGTGCAGATAACCTTACAAATTGTTTTTAATTCAAATGCATTTTCTTTGTCAGTTTTGCAATAACTAACCATATTAAAGCGTAATAGGATTTATTTAGAGGAAAATGATATGACTTATAAAAATATTTGTGCCAATATTAATGACAGTGCTGCCTTGGGGAAAAAGCCAGAGGCCATATATTTTATCCCCTTGTTGTAATGTCAGCATTCATCAGCCCTCAAACCTTTCAGGTGTTTAAACCAGCCAGATCATTATTTAGACAAAACCTGCTTTTCATACCAAAGAACATACTTTGTGATTGTTGGTTCACTCCCACTGTAAATACCACAACACAGCTCTTTTTATGGCAGTAAGCACAGTAGCTGACTGACTGTAGTCTGCTCTACAGCAGTATTTTGGACATGGTGTTCTAGGAAAAATCTGGTGCAGAACCTTTACATTATGTGGAAGATTCTTTACATTTTTAAAAGGTTCTTCATACTAACACAGCTCATTTGTCAAAATGGTTCAAGGCCCTATTCGTGTCACATTCCTGAAATTTTAGCTGAAGGTTGATTGCCATGTAAATTATTGCAGTTAACAATTTAATTGGCTTATTTGTTATTTGTATTCAGTTGTTAAAGTACAAGCCTAAAGTGGCCAAACTGGCTGATTATTTTTCTTTTATTTATGTGTAGTTGCCTGAAACCACTGATACAACATGGCCAGTTAAATTCTGTTTGTTGCAATGTAAACATATTGTGAAAGCTAATAATTACGGAAAATAATTGTGGTCCGCTTAAATAATTGTGATCAAGCAATTATGTAATTTTAACAGGCCTAAAAGGGCCAGTGTCCTTAATGTTTTTTTTTTTCTCTCCACACTTCTGTGTGGTATATCAAAAACAGTTTTTTTACATGAGCATTTTCCAGTCTTTCATTATCCAGGCTGTTACTGTGCCTACTGCTCTGTATTGTGCCTCATTCTGAAAGCTGTCTGAGCTGAAACATTCTTTATAACTTCAGCATCAATGGACTAAATTCCTTTAGATTGAATAGGTGGATGTATGTAAATATGCTATATGTGATTTTTGTGACATCACAAAAAATGTGAATTGAAGAAAACGTCTTGTTTTCCGTGATGTAGGCCCTTTTAAAGAACCTGTCTTTGAAAGGTTGAACGTCTGTTGAAAGTGTTTCTTCTATGGAAATGTTTTAAAGAACCCACTTTGATGCCTTTATTTTTAAGAGCTTAGCTGAGCCAAGCAATCATGAACACTTAATACCTGTACAGGTGTGTTAGCACTTAGGAAAAAAAAAGGTCAAGTAAAAATGTGGGTGGTTGAGAATGCCCCCCCCCAGTGGCTGTTACTAACTGTTGCAGAGTCCAGGTCCAGAAACGGAATCAGAAATGTGTTTCGTCCATCTAGGTGAATGGCTAAATTCGGAACGTCCTCAGCAATTTATGTTTCTATAAAACCAGACACAGTAGTCCCTTGCCTTCCGCTGGGTGGTCAGTTGTAGTCTGAGGTGATTCATTGTATTGTCCAGACAGCGAATGTAAGCACTGGTTTGTTTGAGTTAGCCTTTATCTTACTTTAGCTTTGGTTAGCCCACACGCTTACTATGTTTCTACTTCTGGTCACAGTGCCGCCAGTCTTCTCCTCCAGCCAGCCACATCAAGAAATACTGCAGTGGTGCACCCGACTCTGTGAAGCAGACAGAGGCTCAGCTGTGTCACTGTTATGATATCCAGCATGGTGATTTTTTTCAGCGCTCAGGTTCTCTGCAATAGATGAGCTCCTTATTGTATGAGATGCTCGTATCGCATGAATTACTAGACAAACGCAGACAACATGTAAACCTTTATTGCACCGTTGGTTGTGCCAGAAGTAGATACAGAGTTCGCCCCTGCCTGCAGAACTGGAGAATCCAACAAAATCCAACAAAAAACACTATCATGAATAAAATAGACACATGGAAAAAGTATCCAGACCTCAATTTTACCATGCATGTAACTTATTATAACACACACACATGAAAGTGTAAATGACTACGGATGAAAAATAAAAGATATGAACAACAGAACAGAAACCAGACAGCCACAAAGAATTAAGGGTACCACTGTCCCCAGTGCTGCAATAATTAGCACTGCGAGCTTCTGCTGTTTATTTGAGATTAGGAACTGCCAGCTGTATTAGTCAGTAAAGCAATGTTTAAAACTGTTATTTAGTATAAAAGTCTAAATATTATCTGATCTTAGGAATTTCTTGCAGAATTTCGACCCCAAAATGTTCACATTGGTTGAGCCCTAATTATCGATGAACTTCTGTAATCATCTTAACAGTGTGTTTTTTTGCTGTTTGCTTTTTGTGTGTGTGTGTTTCAGGAGATGGTCAGCAGTGGCCCCTGAGGGCCTCTGTCAGGGAGGCATCTGAGAAAGCAAAGGAAGCGGCTCTCGCTGCCACAGAAACAGCAAAACACCTTGCTTCAGCTGCCACACCACAGAAACTACGACAGTATGTGTGATGAACACACACACACACACAGGACTGGGCTGAAAACCACACACACACTCCTGATACTGGGCTAAAATCATCTCACGCATTAAAGTGATAATCCTGTAAAAATCAATAACACCCCCAAACACCCCCCCCTCCCCTGACCACTTACTTCTTGAAGAACATTCAAACATTACTGTTATCTGTGAATTGGAGCCTTACTGTGATCAGCTGAGTGTGTGTCTGTGTGTTTGACTGCAGTATGCTATCAGTGCAGTAATCATTACTGCAGAACACTGCACTGTCTTTGCATCTGATGTGGTTTAATTAAATCATCCAAACAAATCACAATGTAATTTGCTGGAAATATTCTAATTATGAGATAATTTAAAATCATGTTGGCAGCACTGAAAAAACATTGAAAATGATTTAATGATGCAAATGTACTGTTTATTTATCAATAATGTATTTTATATATAACTGAAAAAGGAAACGAAATGTTCATTTTGAGTAATTATATCAATACAGCAAATACATAAATAAAACTATTTCAGTTTACCTGGGCTTTGCATATATTTCTCATTTGAAAATGTTTGTCTAAAATATAGTTCTAAATGTACATGCAAATGTCAGTAAGTATGATTTTATACTTGCAATTCAGTTTAAACATTTTAAGTCAAACTAATTTTACTCATGATGAGTGATGTTGCTCTTCCTGTTACAACCAGCATGGGGCGCCAGGTTTAGATCTAAATTGGCCCTTCGTTTTGGTCAGTTATTTTTCACTTCTAACTTTAAGCTTTGAACTCTCTAGTGGGTCAAATTTGCGCACCTCACCTGTAATACTTAATAACTTTTCTGACCATATGCTAAATGTTCTCTAAGGCACATGTTCCATGAGCACACTTCTGAAAAAAAAAATCAAATACAGTAATAATAACAGTTAAGATTAGGGTTATGGTTGTTTACTTGTCCAACTATATTAGCTAGTTCATTTCTCCTTCAGAATAAAATAGTCAAACTTATGGTTAGCTAATTCACAACCACATTAGCTAGTTAGCTTGCTAATACACAGAAATGGGTGATTTTATGTGTCATGGAATTACATAACTACAGCATACCTTCTCTGAAACAGTTTATATATGCTAGCAAACTTACGTCTAACAATGTGAGCTACCTTACCAACACTTTAGCTAGATAACGTAGGTAGCTTGCTAGCTAGTTAGCTAAACTTCACCCACACTGAAGCTTTTACTGCATTCATGACCAAGTGGGAACTGGGAAGTTTCCAACTTCCAAATAGAAAGAAATCCAGTTCAGCTGCATATTACACCCATCCTGCGACATCTCCACTGGCTTCCTGTAAAATACCGCATACAATTCAAAATTCTTCTCCTCACATAACCTTGCTCCTTCTTACCTCTCTGATCTACTTACCAACTCGCACTCTCAGGTCTTCCTCTGCTGGTTTACTCACTGTCCCACCTTCCAAACTACATGGGTACGGTGATCGTGCTTTCTCTAGGCTGGCTCCCCGACTCTGGAACTCTCTTCCCTCATATATTCAACAGGCCCACTCTGTCTCCACTTTTAAATCTATACTTAAAACCTACCTCTTTTCTATTGCTTATAACTGTTCTCAATCCTAAACCAGCCCTTTGCCAAGTCCTGCAATGTTTTGCTTGTGATGTTATGCTTCGTGTTCTCATGTTTGTCTTTATTGTTCTGTATTTCGAAAACCTGTAAGCGTCTTTGAGTTCTTGAAAACCGCTATATAAGTATAATGTATTATTATTATTATTATTATTAACTGTCATACAACTCATAATTACCACCAGGAAAGTGTTTCTCAAAAGCTCAGACTTCTCTAAGTTGCCGATGTCACCTGTAATATTTGACAACTTTTTTGACCGTATGTTAAATATCCTTGTCCATAGGAGCACACATCTGAAGGCATTGTTTAAAGGATCTGGCTAAAAAGTGTTTTTTATACACCTAAATTATCACTACATTCAGTCTTTTGGTCATACGGGACTGTTAATTTTCAACAAGAGTAAATCCAAAAATGAAAAGTGTGCTGTTGGATGTTCATGCAATATAACCATATATAATTTAATTTCAATCAGAATAAATTCTGTGGAATATTTCTTCGGCATGAATGGCTTAAACTAACTTGTATTGATTCCACTTTAATATCAGTAACACCCATGACACCCATGTGTATAAAACATTTTTAATTATTTATATTACAATGAAAGAATACACAATACCTTTAAGCGTGGGCTACAAAACAGCCAGCACCAGGTATGTATGTATACACAAACAAATAAACAAACAACAAAAAAAGAAACTATTATAGCACATCTGAATGCATATTACACATCTTCTACCAGGAAACATATTCACAGGTCTGGCACAGAACACTCCCGCTTCAGTGATAGGTAACACTCCGCACACCAAGCAGCAATGCACACACACACACACATACACAGAGGAAGACAGAAACTGAGCTCGCAGTGGAAAGGCAAGATAAAAAACTAAAACCAAAAACATATATAATCATCTATAAACTGCTCTCCTGGACATGCATTAAAGGAGTACTCCAGCATCTTTCAACATAATCTCTATTTTCTGCATTTTAATCATTTTCCCCACAGTTGTCTGTAGTCTGTGGGGACCTGCCCATTGGCTTCTATTATAAGTGAGTTTTGAGTCCATACGTTTTCTGTTCTTTACTAAGTACAGTCAAAGTATTATCCATGATAATCAAATGTCTGCTACAAATACAGCAGATAGAGATTAGATTAAAACACACTTTTATCTCTTTAAATTCAGTGGTGACTCGCCATTGAAAAGCATGTTTAGTCCAGCCAGCAGATCTGGGTGGGATAAACCAGCCTAGCTGTGTATAACAGAAAAGACTAAAAGCCTAGAATCATCTATATGTAAATATACTGGTGTGGAATTACCAGTAGATTTACTGGTAGAAGGAGAAAGTGCTTTTTTGTTTTTTTGGCCGGAATCTGGCAGAGATGGAAGAGTTTACTGCAGAAAGGAATGGATTCAGATAATCGGCACACATGCACACATGTACACACATACACACACTTTTTCTTTCTTGATCGGTGAACAGTGTTCATCCTACTTGTGTTGATCTACACTGATTTTGATTTCTCACACAAGCAGCCAGTTAGGGCGAACGATAGCCAACTACCTAGCAAACTACCCAAGTTAGCTATCTAGCTAAAGTGTTCACATTAACATTAAGTACATAAAACAGTTAATATGGGTTATGGTTAGTTACTTGTCCAACTATGTTAGCTAGTTAATTTCTCCTTTAAAATAAAAGGGTTAAACTTGTGGTTAACTAATTCAACTTATATCTGTGGTTAGCTAAAACAAACTTATATCTAACATTAATCTGAACTACCTTACCAACACTTTAGCTAGATAGCTAACTTAGGTAGACTGCTAGTTAGTTGGCTAAACTCCACCAACACTGAAGCTTTTGCTGCGTTCATGACCCAGTGACAACTGGGAAGTTTCCGACTTCCAAATAGGAAAAATCAATTTGAACGATCACAAAGCTCACAATTCCCACTAGGAAAGTCAGTGTTTCTCAAAAGCTCAGACTTCTTTTAGTTGCAGCTCTAATGAAAGCGCAAAGATTAGCAGTAAATTGCGATGACATACATCAACATAAAAAAAAAATTAACCAAGCAACTCTTTAACTAAAAGCTTTTTGAGAGCTTTTTGTATGCATGCAGCAGCCAAACAAGCACTATATTATTGTAAGCATAGTTTTTTCTGTCCTCAGCTGAAGTTGTGCAAACACTCTGAGCTTGGAAGTAGGAGGCTCGAAGTTTGAAACGTCCGAGTTCAGTTGTCATGAATGCAGCATTTGCCCAGTCTGGGGTTTGGTCTACCAGCAGCTAGATGTCATTCCACACAGCAGCTGTGTATGTGTGTGTGTCTGTGTCTTCAGTATCAGCTCCACTGTCTGTTCACACTCTTTCTGCTCTTTTCCACTGTAACACACACTCATTTTCACTTTTCTGATGATGCCTAGGTCTGAAGCTCCGCCCACATATATTTAGTGTTAGAAAGCTTTTTAACAAACCTACAAAAATGTCTTCACGTCTCATCACTGCTACTACTAAGGCTAATCAGTAACCACTGCAACAGTGAAAAACAAAAGCTAAATATGATGTATATTAAAAAGGCTGTATAGAAATGAATTCACACACCTAGGCTATAATCAAGTCTACTGAGCAAGCAGGGTGCTCCAGTTTTAAAACTGAGATTGACATCCATCCCACAAAATGTTTTACAGAATGCTGGTAAGAAAAAAAATACAATTCAACCTAATGGGAAACTGTAGCATACAACTCAGTTTTTATAATACATACCAACATTCAGAGAGTGTTATTCATTTCAAATTATATTTATTTTGTATGTGTGTGAAAGGTCACACTGGTAGAATAGGTAAAGTGTAGTTTTTTTGTTGTTCACCATTAGCACGGTGGCTAATTCGTTGTCGTTTTTAAATCCAGTTTCAATTAGCTACAGAAAGTAAGCCCAACTCTGTAGCTTAGCATTTTTAAAAACTCTGAAATCCAATCTAAATGTACTTCCTGCCAGTGTTCTTTGGGCAGAGTATGTCTATGTAAGTCATTTTTTATTTTGGTGAATTATTTTCCTCATCCACCTTTAACTCTAAATTACATCCACATGCTCAATTTCATGGTTGCCATAGTTACTCATTTGCCTTTGTAGGGCTGACTACCATTACAGCTGATACGCTGTTTAATGATTTCCACATGTTCTTTTTTTTGGTTACATTTTGTTTTTAAAACTACCAAGAAAGTGGGCAGGTCTTAAACTCTTTTACAGTGTGATGTCAGCACATACACACACACACACACACACACACCTGCTGCATGATGCTGAAAACTGAATCTCGTCTCTGGCCCATGAATTCCATCTTAATCATCCCATAAAAACATTGTTAAAAAAATGGGAGGTTCTGTGCAAGATTTTTTTCCCTCAGTTTAAATATCACTATGTTGTTCTCTGACCAACTGAAAGAGGACTCATTTTTTGCTACTAACAGTCCTTGACATGGATGTAAACTCTTCATGAAAAAAGTAGCTTTTTCAAAAAGACAAAACAAAACATGCTCCCTCCTTTCCAGGAGAAGATAATAAAAGCAGAAATGTCAGAATTGGTCACAAATGTGCAGCACAGAATTCAAGCTGCTGTTTACACTCAATGAGGAAAACAAAAAAAAAATAAGTAGGTGATTGTATTGCTGTGTGTCGCCCCCTGCTAGCCTTTAAACACAGAGCACACCAACCAAACGTTCTGCGACAAACAGAACCACTCTAATGCTCCCAGAAAAAGAACCGACAATCCAAATGGACAAGAGTGAATGAAGAAAAAACGTCCAAGAGTCTCCAATTAAACACAGGTATAAAACTAAGGTGTCAAATAGGATTACTTTGCTCAATGCCATACAAGAATCAGCTTTGGTTCTTGAGAGGACTATTTTGTAAATAGGATGTTTGAGTGAAAAGAACCTTTCTAAAGTTAAAAAAAAAACTTTTTTATGGAAACCAATATGGCATCGCTTATAGAACCATTTGTGATACCTTTTTATCAAGAATGTCTGGTTCACTAAACGAACATCCTGTTTGCATTTGTTTCTGATTGTTGGTGTTTGGTTGGTGAACTGAGGGCCTTTACACTCATTGTCTGTAATGTGACGCTGATGGTGGGGCTTTGTTTTAGAGGAGCCGATTCTATAGCCGAGAGACTCAAGCAAGGGATGATTACCCACAGTCGTCCTGGGCAGGCGCTAACACTAACAGGAGGTGTCACTGGGAGAGTGTAGAGGGAAAGAGCTCCAGCTGCCGTCGGTTAATGATTGATTATCGCTCTTCTCCCAGCATCTCCCTCTTCATTATGACGAGAAAAAGAAGCAAAGCTGGACTGCAAAGACGAAGAGGCTGAAGCAGAACAGTCGGAGAACCACTTAAAGCAACTGCTCAGCAAAAAAATCCCATTGGCCTAGTTAGCCCACCATAACCCCAAATGCAGTTGTACATCCAAGACATGTTCCGTGTCTGAAATTTGTTTCTTTAGTTTTAAGGCCATTACATACCAATTGCAATTAATTTAACAATAAATTCATTTAAACGTATGTATAAAGATTTCCTGCACACCAAACATGATTTTTCAGGTAAACATGCAGCATTATTTTATTTGCCCTATTTTTGTGAGCTTTTGCCAGCAACATGAACTCACGCAACCAATCGCTTTCATTTTTGTCATTGGAACAGTCTGCCATCTGCTTTGTCACCAATGATGTTAGCACCTCCAAAATGAGCTAAAATGGAGCTCAAAGTGTGTTACAGACATCTACATCTTACAGACATCCGAAAGCTCTCATAAAGTTCCAGCTGGGGCGGTGAAACTCTTCATGCTACTTTTACTTTGGAATGCAGCCTCCAATGTCATCATTCATGTCCGAATATTTCACATTTCACATGTTGTTTATATGCATTGCCTTCAGTGTGTAACGGCATTTTCAATGAGGCTAATGTAATGATTAGAATAGTTAATTCCGACAAGTGCATGTCAAAGTCATCACACTTGCTGAGTTTATTAGGTAATCTCAAATAGACTTGTGTGGTTTCTGATGCCGTATGGCTGTTACCCATCATAATGGTCTAAAGTACTGGTTTTAGTTATGTTAATTATTTAGTCTGACAGCTAGCTATTTTTGTCCCCACCATAGTTTGAGGGAGGTATGTGTGGATTTAGGCCTGCAGTTAGCACAATGCTAATTCCAGGGGTATTGAATGCCATTACTTGTTGGCTATATTAGCTTTGTGACACCAAACATCTCTTGGCTGACTGGCTACATTTGAGGTAAGGGGGATACTGGCTAAATTTGATTTTCAATTTTTTGCAGAACTGCTGCTTTAATGCCTAACTTCATTTGTTACTCACTGAGGATGAATGGATGGATGTAGGGAGTGCCTGGAGTAGACCTGAGCGAGTGGAGGCTGAGGGGAGGGAATGGGACATAATAACATAAACAGAGGCTGACCAAGGCACAGAATGACTGTCTAAATCTCCAAATCCCCGAGACAAGCCTGGCGTACTGCCCTGTCCATCTCATATATATATATATATATATATATATATATATATATATACATACACTCTTCTTTTTTGTCTTTTACCTTTAGGAACATTTAGGAAAATATAATACAAAATTTTAATACAGGAAATATAGACTACACTTGCTAAAATCACTTTTAGTGACCTATAGCTTTTTTTTTTTTTAATTCATGTTTTTTTATTGGCTTTTCTTGCTTTTTTTTAATAATCAGCCATTGTAGGCTAATCACATTATCACACACGCACACACACACACACACACACGTGTGTGTGTCTGTGTGTATGTATGTTTTTTTCCTTTTTAAAGTGTTGAATGCCAAGCTCTAAGAACCGCAGCAGAGGGAGTTTAAAAAGCGGAAACAGAATAAAATACTGCACTCTCTGCATTGCAAATACACTGTATAGGCCAACCAAAGGAATACAAAATCATTAGTGGTCCGATCTGCAATGCCCTGGAGCTCCTCAAACAATTGGTTGCGTATTAATATGTAAAGAGAGAGAGAGAGTTAATTTGAACAAATCCAAGAAAGCTACAAGACAAAAATGAAAGTTAAGGGTTAGCGATGTAATCTCTTGGTTTAACTAAGCCTCCACAAAAAGAAAATCATTAGAGCTGGCTGTTTTTAGACTTTTTTTGGACTCATTCAGCTTTGATCTGTCAACCTGAATGCTGAGACACAGATGATGCGTCTGCGTGTGTGTTTAGAGCAGAAAAGCTAGCTTAGTGAATCACTCTCGTTTTTAGTGCCTTAAACCCCTCAGAATCATATAAACAATCACGAAAGCAGTAGCTTTCTGTGTTTATTGCTACATCACTTTGCTACTGAAAGAGAAAAAAGGGGTTTGATCCCGAGGGGCTGATCTCACTAAGCTGTTTTCTACTGTGAACGGTGTGTGCGAATTTTGCTTCACTGCATTTGTGGTACCAGCCAAATGCTAATGTAGCACTGGCACAAACTGTAGTGATTAGCACCGGGTGGTGCTATGAAAAAATCTGGCTTGACTGTCACTGCTCTAGCAACAGTGAAGGAAAGTGGTCAGATCGGCCCTTGCATATATTGTACAATATATTGTGCTGTGTTGCCTCCATGTTGACACTGTATTAATGATCCAAACGTTTAAATAACCGTAAAAGACAGAAATACAGTTTATTGAGTGTTTCCACAAAACGGACGGTCGAGCTGATGATGCCACTATTACAGATCACATGTAGTGTGACACCAGGGCCGACACCAAGTTTTGTAGTTCAGTTGTATTGTACTCTTCACAGTTCTATGGCTCAGCCCAATATTATGCTATTATATTGTACTCATAGCCTGTATGCTTCTACAGTTGCAAACTGATTTTGAATCCATTAGCAAAAATGGAGAAATTCCCTATGGAGAAATTAACGGCAATTCAAAATTTTGTTTTGTTTTGTTTTGTACGCAACCTGCCAATGGCGTTGGTCTGTACCTTCCCTCCTTATAATCTACCTTTTTGTTGCTATGTTATTGTGTTTGTATTTGGTCGTTCTGAATGAAGTTGTGCAAAAGACGAGCTGGTTCCCAGGTGATTTTTTGTTCCTTAAAGAAGCTAAATAGTTGTTGCTCTAGGCTATGCCATTAGAACGCGTAGTGTGCTAAATGCTACTATGCTTAGCATTTACTAAGCTTTTATAATTGTTCTTGTTTTAGCATGTGCTAAGAACTGAAAGACAATCATAGGGATGCACTGACGATATCAGCATTATATCGGTATTAGTATCAGACGAATGTTAAAGTTTGACTGACAATTCAAACTGATAATTGATGATCCATCGGGCGATACGTATATTTAAAAAATTGGACAGGCATTGTCCCAGAACTTCCATATGAGTGCATCCCTAACAACAAAAGCAAAGGTGTTTTTATGGATCCAGCCCGTTCAATAAGAGAGAGTGTGAAATACACATACTCACTCGCAAACTCACTCAGGACGTTAGCTGACAGGTCAAAGCTGTATGGCCGCACCACGAAACCGCAGATTGCTCTTTGGGTGTCTGAGGCAACGATCAGGGTTTAATAGAGAAAGTCTGGAAGTGTGAAAGTGGTGGAGAAGTGGGACGGGAAGTCCAACCAGCTGCTTCCTGCCACAGGAGGCAGGTGCATGAGCTTGGCGCTGGGCGGACGGGTGGTTTGGAGGTTGCCGTTGCACTGCTGGCTTGGTTCTAGCAGATGTGTGTGTGCAGTCTGTGTGAGGGCGAGTAATGGCTGCTGTCGCTGGAGCTGCCCTGCAGGCTGTAGTGGTCTTCAGTATCGCTCACACTGTCCACACTGTCACCCTCGCCAGGTGTAAACTCCATCCCTTCGATATCCACGTCCACCTCTGGAGAAACACACACACACACACACAGTTAGTATCACACACACTCTGTGCCTACACTCAGAAAGTTTGAAGAAGTACTTCATCTAAAAGATCAAATATATATAATATTCTCCTCACCTCAAACACATCTATAAAATGGACAAAAGTACAGACAAAATTCAGTCTTCAAGATGGCCACTGTTTTCAGTTATGCTAGTGTACTTCAATCCATGTAAGCCCAGTATGAGAACAAAATAATGAGTGAGATATTTGAAAACCATAGAGGGGCCAGGGGGACGCAGCATATCCATGCAGCAAAAACACTAAAGAAAATACAGGGCGATAAAAGTATGATAGATCTAAGGTCACAAATTCAGGAGGGAATCAGCAAATCACCAACTATTTCTGGAATTCTGAGACTTTCCCACAACAAACAGCGCATCCCTAATATGCAACCAATAGAAAGTGATGCATGCAAACCCTCCTATGTTGAATCAATAACTACTTATATCAGCAAGAACTTGCAGTACACTCACACCTGACGTTTGAGTTCATGTTTATAGATAACAATAAAACATACAGTGTAAGAAACCACACAAGCAACTCAATTTGAGATTACTTCACACGGTTTGAGAGCAAGTGTGTGATGATTTGCAAATGTAGTAAGCACCATGCTAATTGGTGTGCACAAGCTTCCATAGTCTTGCAAGTGCAGGACAGGCAACTGCTTAAAAAAGTTTCTCATCAAATTGACAAACTCTGCTGCACATAAGAGTATACACACGGACATGTGCATGGCCAATTAGTGTGGAACTGACAAAATCTCTAATATTTGTGACAAGCTTAGCAAACAGTAGATATCAGACAGTCCATATATGAATGGGCAGAGCATCTGCGCTTGAGACTATTTGTCTATATGTCTGACTGCAATGTTCTTTGCCGGGTTGGAGGAAAACACAGCTCCAGATGTGATTTGGTTTTGGAGGTAGCAGTTAGTTTAATGAACAGCTAACATAAGCTAGTAAACTAGTTTGTTTTTTCTCAAGTGTGCATGATGAGCAGCATTATGGAGAGCAATTCCTCCTTTTATGTTTTTTTTTCTCAGAAAGTAGGTCTGACAGCTCACTCTCATGTTTAATATTGGCTCATGCTTCTAAGATTCACAAATTCACAGGGTTAAAATTAAAGAAGCAACCTTAAATGCTACCAGAGGCAGATTCCTTTTTCACATTCTCCTCATCCTTTCCCATTCAAGTGAACTGGCTTTTCTGCCAGGCAATTTTACTCACATTCAGTGTGACCATGGCTTCCATTATTTGTTTGATACATTAGCTCCAGTGCTAGAACTAAAGAAGCAAACTTCAGACACCAAAGATGTCTTGGTTGATCCACTACATTTGAGGTAAGAAGGGTAAAAAACGAGGTCAATTTAATATTTTTCTAAACTCTCACTTTAAGCATGCAAGGAAGATGAGCTCCAACATAACGAGTACAGATAAGCTATTATATCACACTGACTAAAACATGTACAGTATGTGTGTATGTGCATCATGTGAAAGAAAACCTGCAACTGGCCATCTGTTTGTTTCCAGCTTTGGATATGTGAAGGCCATTTTGTGTTGGTGGATTACTGCAGGGTTTAAGTGGCCCTTAGCTGTGGGCAAACAGAACAGGTTTTGTGCTAGCTTGGCTAATCCTCTAATAGTAAATTGCATAGGATGTTTACTACAATGTGCATTAGTAAACACACACTTCTTGCTTAAACCCTGAGGAGCTCCATACAGACCAGTACTGTTCAGTAAGAGGCAGCATGTTCTATGTTCTTAGTTATAATTTTATTCCAAATATCATAATACTAACAACACTGCAAAACATTGTTAGCTCTCACTATTTCCTCTTTTATAATATATGTGTAAACTGAGGAGCAGTTTATGGATAGCTGGATAAAGGGAAATGTTCCCTAGATAGACACAGAGCTGTGTTCCCTAATCTTGGAGCACCGGTATACTCTAGTGTAGTGACTAGCTGTTAGCAAGACTAGCCTAGCTAGTACATAGCACTGCATGACAGCAACATAACTAAAAGACTTAGGCTAGAAAATATCCATCAGTTATTAACACTACATTCAAAGTGTAATTTCACTCCATAAAAAAGAGCCCATGTTGTGTTTGTGTGTTTACCTTGTTCTGAATCAGTAGAGATGGTAGAGCCCATGCTGTCTGTGCGGATTCTCTCCATACCGAGTTGCTCCAGACGCCGTTTGAGGTAGCGATGCTCTCTCTGCAGCTGCTCCTTCACATTCAGGGCCTTTCTGTCCTGCTCCTCCAGCTTCTACACACACACACACACACATAAACATCTGTTTATACACCTTTTAAGATGTGGGGTCATGCATGTCCCACATGTATTATGTAAGTAACTATATATAATAATAAAAATATGCCTTATTACTATACACAGATAGGTGACAAATTAAAGGAAAAACCCAATAACAAGTGCAGATGCTTCTAGATGAGTGTACTTATTTTTACTTACTTATATGTACTTATTTTCACTTAGAAAACCAACAAAACATGCGATGTGACCAGGTTATTTAAATGTTTGCATATGACTGTAAATGTAAACACTATATATAACAACAATGTCTCATATATATATATGTGTATGTGTGTGTGTGTGTGTGTGCGCGTGTGCATTATATATGTTTAAGTACCTATATGTAATAATTTGTTTATTTAATTTCTAGCCAAAACAGCCATTATGTACAAGTTATTAACTTTTCAGGAAATATTTCTGGGGAGATATATGAAAATCCACTTAATAAATACATGTACAACAAATAATAAATAAGTTCCTATATATAATTGTTCATATGTTGCATATTGGTTGGTTTCCTGAATAGGGATTAAGCCCAGCATTCTGAATGTAGAATCTTCATTGAACGGTGTAGTCAAGGACTAGGATTAATCTACATTTAACAATAAATTTCTAAACCTAACCCTGATCCTAACCCTAATCTTAACATCAGAAAACAAAAAGAAATGTTTTTGTTTATTTAGTTTTAAAAAATTAAACATGGAGCTTGTGTAAAAAAAAACTTTTGTCTGAAGCATTCTGTTTGTCCTGTAGGTTCGCCTTGTTTTCTCTAGTTTTAGTTTCAGAACATTTTTGTTCCAAAAATATACAAAGACCAACACACATCCGTCAGCAAGTGCACAGTGACATCACATTTATGATTTGAGTGCATAAACAGTGTGCTGTGGTGCTGATCTGCTCTGACTGCAGCTGTGCAAATTGAAGCTGTGTGACATTTTAGTGCAGACGAACTGTGCAGCAAAAACAGGAAACTAAGTGTTAACGCAGCTTTAGGTCTGGGCTTTCCACCAACCACATACTCTCACACTGCCTTCGTGTGCTATGGGAATTATCATAAACACAAGTTCCTGGACTAAAAGCTGCATATGAGCATCCCTTCAAGTTGTATTTATGAGTGTTAACTTCAGAATTTAAAAACAGATCAGGCTGGCTATCTAGCTAAAGTTAGCACTCAAAGTCTTCAATAGCACTGTGACCGTTATCAGACTACTGAGGGAACCTGCTGCCTCTCTCGTGTTAAAACTAGTACTTGAAGTGGGCCAGTACTCAGCAGTCCAGTAACTGTTACCTCCACTGTTGCATTTTGCAAAGCACATTGCTGAGCCTACTGTTTCTGTTGCAAAAAGGAGCAGTTGATAACTCGTTCTTGTAGATGGGAACGGTCCTAATCAACTTCCTGTGTGACAGTAAATGTCCTCGCTTGCAGAAAACAACAGTTGGATTGATATGCAGCATCATTCACTCCGAACACAACAGAAAGTGAACAGCTTTGCCTAATGCATTGTTCACAACCAACTTGGAACTGGGAAGTCAAAGCTTTTCAACTTCTCCAGTTTGCAATTCGTGACATCACTTTAACATAGCAACGTCTTTTGAGATTTGAATCAATCTAAAATATTGCTTTTGTTCATTGGAACTATGTACTTTGCTGTGCACAGAATAAAATGTTGAGTTAAACTGCTTGTTACCACATGAGGTAACTGTTTTAGCTTGAACTGGCATTGGCATTTTCTACAGTGCTGGCTACGTAGGCAGATATCTGTTGATTTCTGTGGCATCACAAAAACAACAAAATCAAAACAGGCTGTTTTTGCAGCCTATGTTCCATATTCGGGCTGTACAGACTGGGGAATGAACAGTATATTTTAAATCTTTAACAATGTTAAAATATTACATCAGACTCTTATTACATAAAGGTGCAGAAAATTAGGTGTTTTATCATATGTACTAGGAGTCGCTATGTGTGTACCTTGATGTGCATCCTGGCACGTTTGAGCAGACTCAGTGTGGTGTGTCTGGTGCTGTCCGGGCCCAAAGGCACCAATTGCTTCAGCTGCTCCAGATAGAGCCGCAACTTAGCACGTCTATAGGAGGAAAACACCACAGAGAGACATGAGGACATGGATAACACATACACACACAGGAATTTAGAAAAGGGTAGTTATGATTAATTGACAAAGTCAGTAATGGTGATGTGGATTTTTATTGTTGATACATTGTTTAGTTATAATATAATGTTAGATATAATGTTCATATGATCCACACAGATTGCCAGATTGTAATACAGCAAGAAGTGTAGGGGAAATTTGCTTCTTTGCTTCTGAATTTTGTCCACTTTTATTTTCACTAAATGATTCCATATTTTTAACATCCCAAACTCTGAATAACATCTACAGTTGAAGAGTTTTCTCACAGTTAAACTGACAGCCCCACACAGCCAAGCAGAGAAAGACAAGACTACAAACACACAAAAAAACTTCCCCAAGGAAGGTGACACCAGGTTGCAGGACCCTGAGGTGTCAGCTTCCTGTAAAGTGCGTGTGTGTATCCAAGTGGGCTTTATGATTGCAAAGTGTTTTGTGGGGTGACACAGCACAATCCATTTTTCAGACTAAGACTGCAAAATTCTGTACCACCACCATAAACCCAAAAGGGGCAGTGTTAATTGAATACTTACTTTAACACTGTTGAATACTTCAATATTAAATAAGAAAAGCCCATATCTTTATCTTAGGTAAAATTTAGTGAAACTTTGGTTAGGGTAGTGTAAGCTGTACATGTATTACTGAACATAAAGCTTAGGAGTGAAGCTGAACAGTGGCAAAGTGTTAAGTTTCAGTGAAGCTTTTTGTACACAGCAGTTGGGAGCATTTTCCAAAACAGGGGAGCCTGACCACCTTCTACTCCTCTCATTATACCAATAACATGATGGCAAAACCTTACAAGGCACTAGAGAGTCCTCAAAAAATGGGGAGCTAAATGGCTACAAATGTTAATTAAATATTATCATAGCCTTTTGCACAATTTTTTTTTTTTTTAATTTGTCAAAGTAGAAAAATGTACTACATTAAAAAATCAATAACAACTTGCTAGTGTCTTTCTGTTTTTCAACAGCTAGCAGGTTTTTCGGCAGTAGGACACTATCATACTGTTACTGAGTGCTTATTAGTTGGCAAGCTCATCAGCTCATTGGTTGAGTAAAGCACACTCACTGGTACTTACCACCATCATGAATACAAATAAAGGACTGTTAGAAAGTTATATAATTGGAACTGAAATGTGTTAAAAATGTCATTTGCTGTTCTATGTGTAGAAAACAAGCGCATTTGTCTGTATAAAAAAATTAACCATTATTACAGTTATGTATAAAAGCTACATAGGAATCAATTCATTTTGGAATTTCTTTAGCACATTCTCTACAAACGGACTAGCCAGATCCTGAGTCCTCATCAGCACTGAGGGTTGTACCCGATAGCTCTGTTAGCTTTTTAGCTCATCTGGAAAGAATTTTTTTTTTTGTTCTGTTTTATTATTAATTTAATAATAATATTATTATTATTATTATTATTATTATTATTATTTCCTTTTGTTATGTCCCTCATGTTCTCTGCTGTAATTTTACAATGAATATTTAAACTGTTTTTTATTATTCCATTTCCTATTTTTTCTTTTTTTTGGTTTCTTCTCTGTAAAGCCATTTGAACTGCTTCTATAGTTCTATATAAAGTTCTATATAAAGAAATATTATATTATTACTACTATTATTATTTTACAGCTCTAATAATCAGTGTACAGTGCTGTGTTAAAAACAGACCTACAGAAAGTCCTCAAAGAAAGACCTATTTTGAACAACAACCAAACAAACAACAGTAATGTGTACAAATAAATTGTCAGCCATGTTTTATCATTGTAAAAAAAGGGATTTATACCAGACTCTGTTGAGCTCCCAAATAGAGCTGAAATTCTAAAGTTTATATAGTGAGTAACATTACAGCCTAATACACTAGAGATAATGGAATAAATCTCTGTTTGGGCAGCACAACTAGTTTTTTGGTAGCCTTGGGCCAACTCTTACCACTACATTTGCTTTACTCTGAAGCATGTTTACATGTCTCCCTGGATAAGAGTGCAATATGTTTAGGTTGCCCTTTTTTGAACCTCTGGCCCCCAGAATGTCTGTGCATGAGCCTGGTTGTGCTCCATAGCATTTATTTTAAGTAAAAATGTCTGTGATTGACTCACAACAGTGTGTTGATATTGAGGGCAGTGTGTCAGCCTCCAGGATCCAAAAGAAAAAACTCTGAATAACCGAATAACACTAGTTAAAATGAGAAATGCTTATGCTGAAAAAGAAAACAATCAAATAACAGTCGCTACCTTTATTAATTATTTTATTAGTTGTTAATTTGTGGTCTCTGGCCATGTGTGATGATGTCAAACACAGGGGAGCCAGAATCTGCTGTAGAAACACCCACATCACCCATGAAGCTCTATTACATAATACACCCACACATACACTTACACAACCAGTTTGTGTGTAACAGTCATCAAACCTGTCTGAGGATGTGACCGCAGGGTGTTTCCACATCATACTGCTTCTGACAGGTGTGTGTGTTGGATACCTGTGTGATAGCTGTGACAGCGCGATAGCTGTGTGAGCAGTGTGTGTGTGTTTGTGTAGGTGTGAAGGATTTTTCCTTTGTGATGCTGATGAGGGGGGTTGCATGGCAAATAAAGCAGGAGCATGTGACCTGGCCTGGGATTTTAAAGCAGTGGCTCAGTAAAGGACCAAAATCCTAAGTTTTGATTAGCCAGAACATGCTTGGTGTCTTCAGATTGCTTCTTTAGTTTTGTGTTGGAGCTATAAGGCTAAAGTAGCTAACAAGTAATGGAAGCCTATAGTAGCATGGTACTAAAGGATTACACACTTGCCTCAAACCGTCATCTATAAAAATGTCATACAGAAAAAAAGTTATTATATGTTATTATTTATAAAACAGAACAGAGGTACGTACAAAATTTAAGCTTCGATATGACTAGGATGCATTTTAGCAATGTTAACTCCCTCCATTTTTATAGATGCGATAAAATATGTACTGATATTTAGCTTAGCAGTTAAAAAAAAATACTGGATCAGTATCTGTATTGGCAGACATAAGGTTACAATATCAGTATCAGTATCGGAGAAGAATAAGTAGTATCGTACCCTCTCTATACAGTTTGTCATACAGTCAGACACAGCATCTGTGAGATGATGTAGGCATACAGTTAGTCCCATGCTAATTCGTGGGGTACAAGATAACAACACTTGTTACCTACATTAGCCCTGTAGCTCCAGTGCAAAACTGCAGAAGTAAACTTCAGACACCAAACATGTCTTGGCTGATCGATTACATGTGGGGTAAGGGGGGGGGAAATAGGGTATATATTTGCTGACAGACCGATTTAAGAGTGTGAGTGTGCGTTTGGTGGTCAGTCCCGGGCGGCAGTGATCTTCTACCTGTCAGACTGAAGCCACATGAAGCAGCTGGAGTGCGGTCAGAGGAAGTGAGTGTCAAAGCGGTGGGGTGGTGGGGCGCTCTGATGTTCTCTGTGCTGCATAAGGGGCTTATTGAGAGCAGTGTGTTCAGCTGCAGATGCTACACACACACATACACACACTGCTCCAAAAAATAACCAGACACACCCTAAACCTCGACACACGCTCAGAATTCTGGTGTGTATTTATGTAGCGAGGGGACTGGCCACCTGCACCTTACACATATACACACACAGACACACAGAGGCCAACCTGTCCACCACCCAGCCAAGCATGAATGGAGAGAATTTTGTAGTGGGGGGTTTGGAAGGGAGCAGTAGAGTGGAGTTTCCTGCAGCAGCCCTTCCACATTTTGAAAAAACATTTGGCTAAGATTGAACACTTCTTTATTAGCACTTATATTGTGTGGTGTACAGTAAAGATTGGTGACACGGCAAAGGTAACTTTACAGTACTCAATATGTGTCAGGAAATTCAGTTTTTCTAGTTTTATGAACAAGTTGGAATGGACAAAATACACCAGCAAAATAGCAGCGCTACATTTTAGTAAGGCTGAAACACTTCCTGTATACTGATTTCTTTAATTCAAAGTTAAAAATCTATTTAAGGAACAGGAGGAAAAATAGAACAATTGCTAAAAATAAGTGAAGAAAATAAGATGATGGCATATTAGGCTGCCATCCAGTCAGCCACTTAACAGTTTATGCAGTTACTATACACTGGTAGTATATCTATAATTGGTCTAAATCTCACTTTATTACTTATTCATGAATTTCATTGATATATTTAGCAAGAAATACTGTACTATACTTGTATTAAGAAATTATTAAGGGGAAAAAAAGATTTCATCCAAAGAGATACAAAAAAAAATTCAGCAGTAATCCATGCAGTTGTTAATTGTCAAGAAGTACTAACCATACCCATATCACCCATATCACCCACCTTTAGTATGTTCAGCAGAACAGAGGTGAACTGGGTGCTGAATGTTTGACCAGACTAGCTATGCTTCAGCGTACACTCACTAGTCACTTTAGACTATAATAAATCAGCCGTCATGCTAGCCTGTTAGCAGGCTGCTTTACAGATACTACAGATACAAATAAAAGTATTTTTGCTGTTTAACAGAATTACATAGCTTGCATCACCAAGTAAAGCATGTTATCACCATACATGTATCATAATTAGATATATCACAACACATTTTGCTTTAACTGCTAATTGTTATGTGTGGTGTGTTTTTTTTCTTTTATTACTTGTTTTGTTTTCTTGTCTGTGGGTTGGCTAGACCGGATCAGAACACACTTTAATAGCACCAAGACTCCTGTTTGTTTTTCTGGAGCAGGAATTCCATACCTCCAAACACCAAAGCACACACACACACACACACACACAGTCCAGTGCCAGTTTCCTGGTTTGTTGTGGTACTGTAATAATAAGGTACTCTTTCAGAAAGCTTTTTTCAGGCTTAGTCACATGTCAGGTTAATAAAGTCTTCAGTAAAACCAGGTACAAATAACTGCTTTTTATAGATTAGAACTGTATGCCA